TGCACAACCCATTTTTTCATTAACTGTTTTAATGTATAACTGATTTCAAAGAACAACTGAGAAGGCAATGTGAAGTGTCAGTACTTATTTATTTTCAAAGCAGTGATATGACAGGGCACAAACTTTGGGTAGTACCCACATAGGCTACTATTCTGGGCAGAATCATACAGAAACACCCGCTCATCTCCATAGCAACACAGCAATGCCCTCTGCACATGACAGTACCAGTTCCCCTTCATGGTAGGAGTAGACAAGTGATCGAAAACTAACGACCATCATCGATGCTACTGACAAAAGTCACAACAGCCCTGGTGAACCCCCCACATATCCAGTCACCAAGTCAGTTACAAGCCAAGCCTTCCCCCCCATCTTTTAGGAATATGCCACACAAGCTCATATCTAAACTCCCTGCGAAGTCATGAAACATTTTAACCCTAAATCAAGCAATTCCAATACTTTACACAAAATTCAAATTTTTCTCTCATAAAAATAAAAATTTCTTTGGCCATATATTTATATACATACTCTTGAATAAGACTTTTTTTAATGCAAGTCCTCTATGGTTACATGTCTTGTTCCTTGACAGTTCCGAGACTGTTTCCGTGACAGTTCCGTGACTGGATATGCGAGGGTAGAATGAGCACAACACAAGTACATGGTGAATCACAAACATTGACAAAAAATACAGACAGCTGGAGCCAGTCACAAATTACCCTGCATGCACTCCGTCTAGTCTTCCAGTATGCTAGCATTTCTACGTATGCATCGTGTGCCGTTAGGGATCTGTCAACATTATTTTGATCATTGCCAGAAATCACAACATTCCAATTATTGTACCTGCTCATTATCTGTCAACAACATACTGATGTCAACATTAATCCAAACATTAGCTGTGGCACATGTAAATTGGAGTTTCAGAAATTTGCTGATGATTGTATGAACTCATGATCCCGTATTGTGAGTTACTGATGACTGTGAATGTCCCGGATGTCTGGGAGCACACTGACTGGCTGACTGTTATCATGTTGAGGTATGGATCATTATGGAATGGACTGGGAATATGATAACAAAAACACATAGACTTCACTGAGATCAACAAGAAATCTCACAAATGTTTCTAAAATAGAGATGTATGGGCCTCATGTACTCATGGTACATGACACGTAAAATATAACAATGTTTCTGTCCACGGGATAGTCTGCTATGTTGACTTAACAACACGTCGCTGGCTGTGTATGTACAAGCCTCTCACTGGTTGGACAATAAAACCTAGCAAAACACATACAAAGACTCTGTGACTTTACATTTTGTATCTAGATTTTTCACTTTCAGAAAATAAGTCAAAATGTTCTCAAGAGATCAATCCACAAAGCTATGTATGAAACAAGAACAACAGGATGTACAACAGGGGATTCTGGGTAGAATAGTCTTCAAGTGTTGGAGAAGAACACGTCCAATTATTCTGGTCATTATAATCATACTATTTGCATCATGATTTAAACTGTTAATTGCAGAATCAATTGGATCTTCCAGTGAACTGTTCCTATATAACAGGGCAACAAAACAGGCTTGTGCAAGCATTTCATTCCAATGGAAATTTACAACAAGTGTTTATTTGCTTGATTTTATACATCTACGACTTGACCAGTTGACTGGTCATGGGAGGAGGACAAGGGAACAGCCTATGCCCTATCATATTAATACAATTCACAAGCATGTTGGACAATTGATGACTGACAAATTGATAAATTCTATGGCATCATTGTAGCAGTATCAACAGCAGGTGGAGCGAGCTTCATGACAAGACTATCAGAATGTACTCTTCTCATCCGTAACAAGAACAAACAAAGGTGCGTCGGTCTTCATCTCTAGAGGTTGTTGTTGAAGGACACTACATGAATAAAACATGCAGCTGATAATCAAATGTGCACAAGTAAGAGGATGATACACAAAAATCACAGAAATACAATAACAACACCTGTTACAGTAATTAAATGCATCAAGGTTGAACAATTGTAAAGCAGAATAAGCTTGTCAGAATTAGCGGGCCTGACAGCTGTGCTCTTACTTCTGCAACAGCAAATTTTTTTACATAAACAAATGCTGATATTTTCCTCTAAATACATATGAGAGCTGGCCAACTAGGTAATAATATCAGCGTTATCCTGCAATGTTGAGACAAGTAACAAGCACCAGTTAACTTTGACTAATCAGACTCTGGAATGATGACTTTTTATAAAGACTAAACTGAAAAGGGAAGTAACTCCATTTTGTGTGCTCGTTTTTTTAAAACTTCCAACACAAAATGAAGGATGGGGTTGAGGCTGAAGGTTGGACTAGCGGGTTTATACAATGTACAGTATGGAATAACATTGGGGATGTATGACGCCATCCTCCTGTAGTATATATAGTATATATATGCAGGGCAGTGTTGTCTGTCCACTGTTCCTTATAATAGCATGGGCAGGATCAATCATACTTATACCATACAAATCAATATATTATCACATATATAATGTCCAATGTTGTCAGGATAATTTATGAAGTAATTTCTGTGTTGTGGTGGGGAGTCGCAGATTTGATTTCATGATGAAACTACCTACTTGTACATCTTGAACAGATTCAACTTAAACAGATTCAGAAACACTACTGTTGACTTTTTTTGTGGATATTTCAGTTTGATAAGTACCTACCGGTACACCGTGCTACAATGTAGATTTCACCCATTATTCAACATGATGTCAAAACAATTGCCAAGTCCACAGATTGTTTGAAGTGAGTAAATGAGTGCTTGAGTGGGGAGTGAGTGTGAGTTTACGCCACTTTTAGCAATATTTCTGCAATATCATGGCAGAGGAAACCAAAAATGGTCTTCACACATGGTGGGTAATCCAAACCCGGGCCTTCAGCATGACGAGCAAACACTCTGACCACTAGGCTACCCCACTGCTCCCGGATTTCTTGGAAAGTTGGTAAAGAGTTACAGGAGGTGCCTCTGGTGTATATAGTTTATATAGTCTATAGCAAATCATGTTTACTGACTAGATACCGGTCTCTTCAAACACGGTACAGTTCTTATCAAACCAATAAATGATTAACAGAATAAACTACATCTATCAACACCGTCTAGTTCGGATGGCATCGATGTTAACTGAAGACTTTCAATCAGACATCCATATACTGATCTCTGGACAATTATGATAAATCAATGGTTCAATGAATCGTTACCCCCAGCACCCATTATTAGCAGTGTATGATCAGTGTGGATATGGGTCATCGTGTCCAGGGCATATAATGGGATCAGGGGAGACAACCCAAGGAACGTGCCATAGCACAGGTAACAACACAATGATTACGGACATTAACGGAGGCACTACCATACACACCTATATCTACATACAAATTCAGTTTAAAAATTCAGTGGCACAGTTTGACTTAACTAATCTGAAGGAAAAGGAAATTGTGTATCATGACCATATTCTTGAGCAAAAACATCTATTTTGAGTGTATATCATTTGTATATAATTACAAATATTCGAATAAATAAAGTAGTATGTAAAAGTTGCCATTATTTACACCATTGCACTACTGTGAGCTCGCAGTTCCGACTGCGTCCTCCTCCTTCACATCTCAGCAGTCTATCCTCATCTATTACCTACACAGTCTGTCAACGTGAGATCAAACTGCTCTGACAATATCCTTACTAGCACTCTTGTGGCAAAAAGCCTTGGATAGAACTACAGCTGTAGCTTCCACCGTAAAGACACAGTCATGTTAATCTTTCATAAGCAGTATTGTCTTGTAGAAAAGTCATTCAGGTTCATTTGATTCTTTCCTCAATAGCACTAAGCCTCTACCTGATGAAGCCTCGACCAGATGTTGCCTGCCACCATACCTTGAACAGAGAGAAGACGCATTCGAAACAACGAAAACTAATGCTCCTTCTTGTTTCCATGGTGATCCAACAACGACAATGCTGGGAATGCTTCTGGTTGGGTGAGCAGTTTATGTTGATGGATCTGAGTTGTATTATGCAGAAGAAGTAGAAGCAACTATGAGTGCAGCTGGTCAAGGAATCCACAATGTTGACAGATATCTGAATAACATTTGAACCTGTCTCTCACTATTAATATCACGACCTTTCAGACGACACAAGGCTATTATGGTTTCTGTGGCTGGACTACTGATGTCACACGTAAAGGATCGTAGCAGCTGCTATCTTCTCATCACAAACAAATTAATTGGTGTGCTATATATTTTCAAGGAATTCTGGGTAAACTTGGTAGAGATCAGCACATTTCACTGATTTGATATAAAATCAAATCAAATCAAATCAACAAAGGTTAGTCCCGCTTGTGTCAGTCATAAGACAGAATCTTTTTTTCTTACATCCATCTCCAACATGCTACCATGTTAGGTTTTCCACTGCTGCATTCGTCCAGGAGTAGGACAGTACCCTGCGGGAGCAGACTTCTCCCAGAAACATCACTTACAGTTTCTTTTAACCTATTCAGACAATATATCATAACAAATAAACAAAAACCAGTAAAAATCTTCTCACAAAACGAAAGTCCCACCTGTCCTAGTTTGTCACAGGCTAACAGTTTTGATCTTGGAGCAGGACAAGTGATTCAGGATCCAGACATTGCTCTTCTTCCCAATACTCAACTCAAAGGCAACAGTTTTCTGGAGTATGTCTGGATAACACAGAAAGTTCACACACTTTGACTCAGTGTTGAACGTTCTGTTCATCAACCATATTTTGTTGATCAATCGCATTCTGTTGATCAACCATATTCTCTTGATCAGCCACGTTCCGTTGATCAACTATATTCTCTTGATAAGCCTTGTTTTGTTGATCATCCATATTCTCTTGATCAGCCATGTTCCGTTGATCATCCATATTCTCTTGATCAGCCATGTTCCGTTGATCATCCATATTCTCTTGATAAGCCTTGTTCTGTTGATCATCCATATTCTCTTGATCAGCCACGTTCCGGTGATCATCCATATTCTCTTGATCAGCCATGTTCCGTTGATCATCCATATTCTCTTGATCAGCCATATTCTCTTGATCAGCCACGTTTTGTTGATCATCCATATTCTCTTGATCAGCCACGTTCTGTTGATCAACCATATTCTCTTGATCAGCCACGTTCCGGTGATCATCCATTTTCTCTTGATCAGCCATATTCTCTTGATGGGACACGTTCTGTTGATCAACCATATTCTCTTGATCAGCCACGTTCCGGTGATCATCCATATTCTCTTGATCAGCCTTGTTCCGTTGATCAACCATATTCTCTTGATGGGCCATCTTCTGTTGATCAACCCTGTTCCATCCATACAAACAAGTAAACTTCATTCCAAACTGTAAACTCAATCACATCACGTCTCGCCCTAGTTTTGAGTTCCTTCATAGAAGAGATGATAAAGGGAGACAATCCAAGAGTTTGTATCCAAGGGCAGGTAATCCATGCCCACTTGTGCCTTGGGTTGTCACTGACTTCTGTCAACAATTATGGTCATCTGCCTCTGATTATGAAGTGTCCGACGAGGGACTTATCATGCATCATTGGTAACATAGGAAAACTGACAAATCTCTGCAACTGAATCACAAACAACCATGTACTATGTCACAACAAGAAAAGCTTGATGATAAAGCTTGTTCATATCACAATACAGATAAACAGATTCAGCTATACATAGCAATATGCACATCAGTCTCAAATATACAAATGGAAGCTAAAATTTTCAACAAATCAAGACAACTATGTTCAACTATGTATATATATATATATATATATATATGCCAACTGAAAGTGCCATAACTTGCCATAACAGTATTGACTGGTGTATACCAAAGCCTATAGCAGTTTCAGGACACACTTATGGACTTTATTCAATGAGACAGGAAACAAGAAATGACGACAGCCATTTAGTAAATCTACAACTTGGGTAAATCCAAACCCAAAGTCAGTTCCCTTCAAAGATGAAATTTGTAAATCTGTAAAATCAACACTCATTGTATGTACATAGAGGCTGACCTAGGTCGTCGTTCTACCTCGCCTGCGGACTCACTAGTTCCTGAAGGGTATGGGTTTTTGTAATGATATGTCAACATTATCTATTTATTATGGAGATAAAGAAATGATGCAAAGTCAGCATAAACATCAGCTCATTTTTTCTTGGCGTGGCTAGCGGAAGTGGCCCGCATGTACGACCCCCCTGCGCCAGTCTGCTGGGAAATGTTAGAGGATGAATGCGACAAGTTGCTGGACGATCCCACCAAGCTCCGACGACTTGAGGACAAACTCTTCCGTGACCCTTTCCTCTTCTTGTCCCAGATAAGTTTCTCTGTTCGGACAAAGACACCATGTCGGTGACGGCATTTGAAGTATCGGACACCATTCACAGAGCCGTCGTTTTTACCTGGAGAAAAAAGGCAAAATGGTATATTGTGTGATAACTGCACTGTAAAATGTCAATAATTCACAATTGATAATTCAAATGGATTAATACCCAATGTCAGAAATAGGTGAGCTAAACCTACAGGACACGAAACAGAGAGTTCTGTAGTGAGTGCTAAGTTAAAGCACTTTCTTGTCAGTCCAGTAGTTTAATCAACGAAGCCATGATGTGGGTCATATATACTACTAGACTTTGACACGGATCTTCTCATATTCCATGATAACCAAATTCTAATCTGGAAAACAAAATGGCCCATAGGGGTTTCCATATGTCCGAATCCCTATCATACATTGAGTGAAGGATATGCCATGAGCTCTGTGGCTTGCAAGACAATGATCTAATGGTGAATCGGTCACAGGGTATTTATAATAGAGAGATAGAATACCCTGTATAAACAAGGATGAGAATTCAGTTGATCTATTGTGAATATTAGGACAGAGGACAGAACATGGAGGACAAGGCTGATATGATGACTAGGCTTACCTTCAGGCAGATCCAGTTCCACTCCGATCCAGGGACCTGCTGCAAACTCCACGTTTCCCACAAAGCGTACCACCCCTGTCTTGGGCCCCACACGAGAGGAGGTGACAGTCACAAACTCTCCCTCCTGAATCCAGGACGGGACTGGGCCATCATGCAGACGGTCAAGGTCAGCTCTGCTCCCAAAGGAGCACTCACTCAGGGAGTCATCCATTGCTGCACAAACAGTACAAGAAATGTGACGCTTAATTACAGCCTGCTGAAAATGTCTGATTTGAGAGGAAAGTTGTCAATCAACATCAACATATATGGTAAAATATTTGCCCCGTGAAAATCCGGGTTAGAATAGTTCTTCAGAAACCCATGCTTGTCGTAAGAGGCGACTAATGGGATTGGGTGGTCAGGCTCACTGATTGGGTGATGCATGTCATCGTACCCCAATTGTGTGGATCGACGCTCATGACATCAATCACTGGATTGTCTGGTCCAGACTCGATTATTTACAGACCGACGTCACATAGCTGGAATATTGCTGTGTGTGTCTTTAAACAACAAACAAACATGTCATTCTAAGAAATTTGAGAGTCAAGCCACAAGCCACCTTACCATTGAGTTGATCCTCCGACACATGTAGGCTGCTTCTCCTCTCCATCCCAAGGTCCTCCTGCCAGGCCTTCATGGCTGTGTCGATCTGAGGGGAGACGGTGCAGGACATCGGCCGCTGGCGTGACCCAGAGCCCTTCCGTCGTACAACTCCCTTAGAATCAGGTGTTTTCTGTCCACTACCCAACAGTGCAGACTTGTCTGCCTTAGGGGAAACAATGTTTGACAAAGATGCTGATTTCAAACCAACTACTGGTGTTTCAGTGGCCTTGCCTCTCGTCTTCTTGTCAAGGTTCTCTGATTCAGATACAGACAATCTCGGGGTATCCTTCACCTCAGGCTTGGCACTCCTTAAAGAAGATTTGTCCACAGTCTCGGAGTCTGCTCCTTCATCTTCTCCAAGTTTCTCCAGCTCCTCCATTGCAGTTACACTATATGGGTCATTGTCCCCATCCCCACGGCCTATTGCACTGTCCCCAGGTTCCGAGTTGCTTGAGTCTATGCGTGAGAGAGGTTCATGGCTGGAGGGTTCAGTAACAGACTTCACAGCTTCATGATCATTCTCAGTTGTCTGACTGAAATCAAACTCTTTCCCATTGGCAGGTGGTGTCGGTACAGGCTTGAGAGGAGCATCAGGTATCTCAGGTACCCCCTCATCAAGCAAAGAATCGGATCGGGATTTGCGATTACCATCAGTGTCATTATCACCAGAATCATTTGAATCATTGTGAACTGATCCATTGGAATCATCAAGTGTTGTTTCTGTATTGCCACTGCCCATGTTGGCCTTATCACCATCGTCTTTGGCATGGTCCCCATCCTCAGCCTTGGCGTGGTCCTCATCATCGCTGTCTCCACTGTGTTCTGTGCTGCCAGACTTGTGAGCTGTCTTGTTTTTGATATTCTCATTGTCATCAATGCTCTTGACACTGAGTGAGTCCTCTGAGGACAAGGTGAGAGAGGACACAGCTTGAGAGCCATAGCCACTGGACGTCATGCTGGGAGTGCAGCTCTTTGCCTGCACCTCCGCTAGGCTGTCATTGGTGGAGGAGTGGGTCATGTGACTAAGAGCCAGAGCGCCCTCTCTCTGCACACGAGCTGTCTGCTGGCTCTGGTACGACTCAAAATCCTGAAAGTCATCTGAGTCAAGACTGCGTGAATCATGGTCCTGCTGCTGAAGGCGAGAAACTGACTTTGGTATCAACTCATCCTCCTCATCCAGGTCCTGGAAGCAGAATGAGGGAGTAAATGAATGAGAAGGGATTTTATACTTCTTTGAAATGTACAGTCAAACACCACTGTGTCGAAGCTGAAGGGACCTACCTAAATACTTCATGTTACCCAAGGTTTGACCGAACCGAAAAATGATGAATAAAGGAGGAATATAGTAGGATCAAGAAGGAAAACCAGTGACTGATTGGACGAGGATCATTAAATAATCCTGGTCATAATAGACATTTTCTCCCATGAAATGCTTTGTCATGACAAAATGTCTCATAAAATGGGGCGTGTGTGAGTCTAAATATGATACAGTCCAAAGGCCAATTCTGCCACCCACCCATCCTTGTAACGCATGATCAGTCCCTAAGCAAATTGAGTGAGTGAGTGAGTGAGTGAGTGAGTGAGTGAGGTTTTACGCTGCTTTAAGCAATATTCCAGCAATATCAAAGCAGGAGACACAAGAAATGGGCTTCAAACATTGTACCCATGTTGGGAATCAAACCCGGGTCTTCTGTATGACGAGCGAGCGAGCGCTTTAACCACTAGGCTACCCGACCTCCCCAGTCCCTGAGCAAAGGATACAGAGGACCAAATGTTTACTGGGGACTGGGATTAATCAAGGGGAATTGGGGTAATTGGGACAATGAACCAGTACAAGCCATCAGTACCTCCTCCGTGTCTTGGTGTAGAAGTGGCCGAGACTCTCTCTGGTGCTGCTCCTCAATCAGAGTCCTCATCGGCTTCACCAACTTGGACGTGTGTGGACTCAGTCCAGACTTGGGGGATGCTGTTTGGGAAAGAAAAAAGCCTGGTAATCTTCAAGTCAACATCAAAGAACAAAACGCAAGAAATCAGTCGACTTCGGCTTCAAGAATGATGTGTCACACTTCCTTAGATAATTACTTTGTAGGTTCCTTCACAACCTTTTTCGTGTGCAGTTACGCAGAACACTTGGTCAAAGTACACATTAGTAGTGACACTACAACTTAAGAGGAACCACATCTTGGTATATGTTCCATTGCTTCCAGCAATAATACACCTGAACTGAGACATTAGATGATCAGAATTAAAAGAACCTGTCCGTGTTTGATATACCTTAAGATTCTACATACTCACCCTTCATTCGCAGACACTAAATAATATAGCATGTTTAAAATCATCTCTCAACTTTGTATGGCATCATACAATACCTTTTTGCCATCTTTTGGAAAAGCAGTTAATATTTTTCACAAAATAGTTAGGTCAGATTGGAATTTTGAAGTTAAATATACAAGTTTGATAAAAACACAAAGATTGAGGCCAACAGAAAATAGACAACAGATAATCACAACTAATGAGTTTTGGGAGGTATTTATTTCAGCATGCAAAAAAACCCAACCTTGTCAACACAAAACACTGGTGTTCAAATTGAAGAATCCAGAGAATAAACCTGTACTTGGTAGTGACTACATAACAAAACATGAGCAGAGACAGAAAGGCAGCCAGAGTCACTGGCAAACACAGCTTTATTGTGGACAAGTTAGGAGCAGGTGAGGGATTTCTGATCTATAATTTATAGCAGCAATCTTTCAAACAGTGTCCAAAGGTGTCCCTCCCTAAATACATGTAGTTTCATGGCCTCTCCAGTGATGTCCATGATGTTTACCATGAAAATATAAAATATGTTCACAGATAAATACTCTCTGTCAAAGTCTTTATTGCCAACCCTCTCCTTTGACTTGTTATTGCCCTCCATATATACATGTTCTTATGCTGTGCTAGTTTTGTTTTTACTGAAGATGTGCCTTATGGACCAACAATATCAGTTGTGGAAATTCTCAGCTATGTAATTCACAGAACACTGGGAGTGCAGCCAAAGTCACCATAGAGGGAAGAAGATTGTTTCCCACACAGAAGATTACATGTAACCATAACAATTACAACACCAATATGGTTTGCAAACAATTCCTTTGACCTTGGTGTTTTGTTACCAGTCACCATGTCAATCCACACGGTCTGATTTTATGACTCTTCCTCCTGCCCTTGATTCCATCACAAGTTTCATGACTTGAGTTGAGACAGAACCAGTCCTCAGGGTAACAACAGTAGATACAAGCAGCCTGTAATTGTCCATGATCAGATGCGACCATGCTGGCAGAGCTTCCAGAGAAGGCACCGGAACAAGAACATCTCGACCTCCTCGACATCTACTGCTTCTCATATTCACAAAAAACTGCTGCATCTTTAAGGCTGCTGTGCCCTTACAGTAACATATTGACATCACTGCTGCAACCTCCAGCATCTTTAAGGCTGCTGTGTCCTTACAGTAACATATTGACATCACTGCTGCAACCTCCAGCATCTTTAAGGCTGCTGTGTCCTTACAGTAACATATTGACATCACTGCTGCAACTCGCAGTGTCTTTAAGGCTGCTGTGTCCTTACATTAACATATTGACATCACTGCTGCAACCTCCAGCATCTTTAAGGCTGCTGTGTCCTTACAGTAACATATTGACATCACTGCTGCAACTCGCAGTGTCTTTAGGGCTGCTGTGTCCTAACAGTAACATATTGACATCACTGCTGCAACTCGCAGCATCTTTAAGGCTGCTGTGTCCTTACAGTAACATATTGACATCACTGCTGCAACTCGCAGCATCTTTAAGGCTGCTGTGTCCTTACAGTAACATATTGACATCACTGCTGCAACCTCCAGCATCTTTAAGGCTGCTGTGTCCTTACAGTAACATATTGACATCACTGCTACAACCTCCAGCATCTTTAAGGCTGCTGTGTCCTTACAGTAACATATTGACATCGCTGCTGCAACTCGCAGCATCTTTAAGGCTGCTGTGTCCTTACAGTAACATATTGACATCACTGCTGCAACCTCCAGCATCTTTAAGGCTGCTGTGTCCTTACAGTAACATATTGACATCACTGCTGCAACTCGGAGCATCTTTAAGGCTGCTGTGTCCTTACAGTAACATATTGACATCACTGCTGCAACCTCCAGCATCTTTAAGGCTGCTGTGTCCTTACAGTAACATATTGACATCACTGCTGCAACCTCCAGCATCTTTAAGGCTGCTGTGTCCTTACAGTAACATATTGACATCGCTGCTGCAACTCGCAGCATCTTTAAGGCTGCTGTGTCCTTACAGTAACATATTGACATCACTGCTGCAACTCGGAGCATCTTTAAGGCTGCTGTGTCCTTACAGTAACATATTGACATCACTGCTGCAACCTGCAGCATCTTTAAGTCCTTACAGTAACATATTGGCATCGTTGCTGCAATGACATTCTTGATGACAGTCTTAAGGTAACAGTCTTACTGTATCATTAGCAAAAGGTCATCTGAATGACATCATTGTTAAATTCTCCTGTCATTTCCAGGAAGAGACGACAAACCAGGGGTTTGAGATTGGCATGGCAATGTTTGAGATATCCTGTCTGGCACAAGGAACCTTGTGGGTCAGAGACGCCTTAGCAATGTTTCTGATATCCTGTCTGAACAGGGAAACCTGTGGTTTAGAGATTGCCGTGGCAATGTTTGTGATATCCTGTCTGGCACAAGGAAACCTGTGGTTTAGAGATTGCCGTGGCAATGTTTGTGATATCCTGTCTGGCACAAGGAAACCTGTGGTTCAGAGAGCGCCATGGCAACGTTGGTGATATCCTGACTGAACAGGGAAACCTGTGGTTCAGAGAGTGCCATGGCAACGTTGGTGATATCCTGTCTGGCACAAGGAAACCTGTGGTTCAGAGAGCGCCATGGCAACGTTGGTGATATCCTGACTGAACAGGGAAACCTGTGGTTCAGAGAGTGCCATGGCAACGTTGGTGATATCCTGTCTGGCACAAGGAAACTTGTGGGTCAGAGAGTGCCATGGCAACGTTGGTGATATCCTGTCTGGCACAAGGAAACCTGTGGTTCAGAGAGTGCCATGGCAACGTTTGAGATATCCTGTCTGGCACAAGGAAACCTGTGGTTCAGAGAGCGCCATGGCAACGTTGGTGATATCCTGACTGAACAGGGAAAGCTGTGGTTCAGAGAGTGCCATGGCAATGTTGGTGATATCCTGTCTGAACAGGGAAACCAGTGGTTCAGAGAGTGCCGTGGCAATGTTGGTGATATCCTGTCTGGAACAAGGAAACCTGTGGTTCAGAGAGCGCCATGGCAACGTTGATGATATCCTGACTGAACAGGGAAACCTGTGGTTCAGAGAGTGCCATGGCAATGTTGGTGATATCCTGTCTGGAACAAGGAAACCTGTGGTTCAGAGAGCACCATGGCAACGTTGGTGATATCCTGACTGAACAGGGAAACCTGTGGTTCAGAGAGTGCCATGGCAACGTTGGTGATATCCTGTCTGGCACAAGGAAACTTGTGGGTCGGAGAGTGCCATGGCAACGTTGGTGATGAGCAGACAAACATGTACCCCTGACATAAAGTAATGCGATGACTCCATCAGAAGCCATGGTGACAGATGAACAGCTATTCTTGTCTGAGTGGGAAGAGGAGATACCACACAAGTATTACCATAATCATCACTTCAGTAAAAGCAAAAATTGTTTCCATTTAGAGAATGCTGTCAAGCAACTTCATGTTGTGTCTACTGCCATAAATTCATTGTGACACAAACCCTCCCAACAGCTGCTTTATCATGCACAAGACACCTACCATGTCCAACTCAACACACAACGTCTTCATGCAGCAAGCAAAACACGTCTCAAGAATGCAAACTCTACTTGAAGATGACCACCACAAAGACACTTCACCATATCGCACACACACCACAACTAGGTAGTACTTTGCATAGCCAAGTTTTGTAACTTTATGTTAAGCAGTGGCTTAAATGAAGCCAAACCAATTCACTTTCAGACGTTTATCTTTATCTAAAATAAGGACACTTCTGTTTGATAGTGCATTATGTGACCAAAGTATTCATCATTTAGTAACGTAAATTTATCATCTCGAAAAAATGTCATAATGGCCCTCTTCTCAAGTTGCGACTGCATCACAGGATATATACTACTAAAAAAGTTAAGGATCACCCAGTTCTTTCATATTACTATAGTTAATCTGTCATGGTGGTGATCCCTAATTTTATTTCAGTAGTATATGTATAAGACATGAAACCTAACGGGGAAGTATTGGTATTTCCATATAATTTGAAAAGAATGGAAAACTGAAACTGATTTACAACAACGTCATGCAGACAACACCGACTTGAGTGAGTCTCATGCAGAATCAACAGCCAGTACATTGAAAGATGAACATGACAGCTAATTGGATGGAAAAAGAAAACATGCACAGACGTAGAAAACAATATGAAATATCCTGAAACTGTTACTACCATGTTCTTCACGGAAGAAACGAGACAATAGTTTAAACGTACGCTTAGCCGAGTTACCATTGGTACTAGAACGGAGGTTGAGGAAGCTCGGGCGGGCTGCAAGGGGAATAACTCTTCATCAGAGGATGACATTCAATCGTCATGGTAACAAAATATGAAAGCATGATATGGTTATCTATGTTGTCATGGAAACTTAAATCGGAAGAAGCACAGACAAGGCAGATCTGCCAAGTTAACAGTGAAAACAAATGTATGACAAAGCATGAAACAAATGATATGTTGTCATGGAAACAGTTGGAAGAAACAAAATGAACGTGTATATATAGTTGGTGACAACAGCAATATGAAGCATCTAATTGAGGTGGCAATCCTAGACTTAGTATCAAGCTTGCACAAGGCGGTGGGAAGACACAGTAACAAGCAGTTCCTTGGCAAAACAAAACAAAGAAGCATCAAACATGATAAAAGTCTGCAGGAAAACCCTACACTGTATTAGTATCTGGTAAATGTGGGTAATATGTCAACTTGTGCATGAAGGAAGTCTCCTGGCATGCACCAGTTGGTTGTAGGAACGCACCAGGAACGCACCAGGAACGCACCAGGAACGAACTGTTTAGGCTGGAGGGTCCAGCAGGGACTATGGACACATGACACTATGTACAGACTGTATGTAAGTCAAGGGAGAATCTCTGTCAGACAATATTGCGGTTTGTTATGACCGAGTGTCAATATGGACACATCAGTCTATCGGCTGCATGTAAGCTAATTAAGTCATTGCATAATCTCTGTCAGGCAATATTGCTAATAAGAATTGATTTTAAAATCTTTAGCATTTATGGAGGACTAAATGTAAAAATCGGGGTGCAGAATGCGTAAAGATGCTCTGTCAGGGCAATGTTGCAGTATCTTGTAACAGTGTCTGAGAGGAAATATGGACACATGGTCAACTGAATGTATGTAACCAAAATCATGGTAATATTTCTGTCAGGATAATAGTGCACTTTGTTTTGACTGTGGGTCAATATGGACACATCAGACTACAATGATATGTAACCGAGGTCATGGAATATCTCTGTCAGGGTAACATTGCATGTATGTTAAAATGTGACTACTCTCAAGTCATCCTCACTTATCAGGGACTTGACCAGCAAGAAAATGCAGAGACAAGTTTTACATTTTCTGACCACCTGGTACAGGAATTTACCTGGGCATTATCAAAAGCCGATATTCAATCCAAAGTCAATGGAATGCAACGGAAATGGACAAATAAAATCCTAAATTGGAATTAAAGATATCCCAATTCAATTACCATAAATATTAACTTTCTATGTTATACATAGCTTTGCATATTTGACATACTTGAAACGTTTGCATTGAATTCAATGTTAGAATCCTGATGAATAAAATATAAGAACCATACAAACATTTCCAATGTAGGAAATAAATAAATGTTTCTTTTCTCCAAATTTGCCTTTCCCCATAAAAGCCAAGATAATTCCTAATCTTGTTTCCTGCTTCAAAGGGTATATAATACATAACACCCAAGTGCAAGTTTATGTGGTGCCAAGCTCCATGTATAGGCACTGTGTGACTGGTCACCGGTCACATTGGTCAGATGATATCACATGACACACTGGACAAGAAATTTCTTCCCATCCAATCACAGAGCTTTCACCCATCACATAAAAATCAGATCTTAGTGCTCACTACCGCTAAACAGGTCTGAGGACATCCCATTACAAGTCACGTCAGAACGACATTTCGCGAACTTTGACCTACAAATGAAATGACAAACAAGAAGTCAACATTAGCCAATCAGAAAGCCTCTTTTTTGAGCTACATGGCACTAGTTTCAAACTACGCTTTGAAATATATTTTGACACAGTGTTAGATTCAAATTTTGAAAACTGAAGAAAAGATCATTTTGGAATGTCTAATAGATGGCCTAGATTGTATGGCAGTACTTCCAACAGACTATGCATTGTCTCTTCTGTTTCAAATGCTTATCCCATAGAAGTGAGAGATAGATAATGATTTTGACGAAATCAGTCATACAGCCCACAACTTTTGTTCTGAATACGTGTTTTAGAGGCTGTGCATGATTAGAAAACACATTCTGACTGTCCCTTTCCTGATCTGGTAAGTAATCTTCTGATTGCTCGGATGAAAGATCGTTTTGATGTGACCCGTAATGGGATGTCCTCAGATCTTTGTTTTGCGGTAGTGAGAACTAAGATCTGACTTTAAATGAGTTTGGAACATTCCCAGTAATACCCACTCATATTCAGAGAACAATCCAACTACCCCCCCAAAAAAACCCCCCAAAAGTTTTAACTATGTTCCAGAAGTTAAGATGTTAGAGAGAGAGGTGGGGATTATTTCTGACAGAGACTGTTAATCTCATGCAGAAACTACATGCATGAAAACCTGGCGAGGAAAACAACTTACGAAAACAGAACCTTGCAAATGTAAACAGCTCTGTAAAGATGATACATGCTGCCATGAACATCGAGACATGAGGCAATGAAGTGGGTCTCTCACCAGACTCGGAACTTACACCACTGTTGGGACTATTGCTAAATGTGACAAGGTTTTGCCACTCACGTCTTTGTATTCAACTACAGTGACAATGGTCCTTAATTTCATAAATAAGGATAGTCATGATTTAAGTTTAAAAAGTAATTTTAACTTTTTCTTAGTAATTATTGTTCTTAGTGTGAAGATTTTTTTTTAATCAACAGTGATAATCATGAACATTTATTAAAAGTTTGGTTCAAAAGAGTGAACATTATTTAAAAAAAGTGTCTGAGTTCAAATTTTCTTTGAAATAGTCCGTGAAATGAAGTTTGGGTTACATGATGTTGGATGTGCTGGTGTTGTGTAGGAGTGTAGTTAGCAATGAGAGTGCAGAGACACGTTCCACCAAGCAACCTCAGCACCAGGAGTTCTAAGTTTACCTGGTGGAAGGGAACCAGGGAGTATCAATACTTCATGGGTTTGTATACACTATGTTTCCCCATCATTATGATAACATACTGGTGTGATGTACTGTAGTCATGTGGAGCCTTGTGGATGCCTGCTCTACATGGCCTTGAGGATGCCTGCTCTACATGGCCTTGAGGCTGCCTGCTCTACATGGCCTTGTGGCTGCCTGATCTACATGGCCTTGTGGCTGCCTGCTCTACATGGCCTTGTGGCTGCCTGCTCTACATGGCCTTGTGGCTGCCTGATCTACATGGCCTTGAGGGTGCCTGATCTACATGGCCTTGTGGCTGCCTGATCTACATGGCCTTGTGGCTGCCTGATCTACATGGCCTTGTGGCTGCCTGATCTACATGGCCTTGAGGCTGCCTGCTCTACATGGCCTTGAGGGTGCCTGCTCAACAGGGCCTTGTGGCTGCCTGCTCTACATGGCCTTGTGGCTGCCTGATCTACATGGCCTTGTGGCTGCCTAATCTACATGGCCTTGAGGATGAGTGCTCTGCATGACCTTGAGGCTGCCTGCGCTACATGGCCTTGTGTATGACTGATCTACATGGCCTTGTGGCTGCCTGCTCTACATGGCCTTGTGGCTGCCTGATCTACATGGCCTTGTGGATGCCTGCTCTACATGGCCTTGTGGATGCCTGCTCTACATGGCCTTGTGGCTGCCTGATCTACATGGCCTTGTGGCTGCATGCTCTACATGGCCTTGTGGCTGCCTGCTCTACATGGCCTTGTGGCTGCCTGATCTACATGGCCTTGAGGGTGCCTGCTCAACAGGGCCTTGAGGCTGCCTGCTCTACATGGCCTTGTGGATGCCTGCTCTACATGGCCTTGTGGATGCCTGCTCTACATGGCTTTGAGGCTGCCTGCTCTACATGGCCTTGAGGCTGCCTGCTCTACATGGCCTTGTGGATGCCTGCTCTACATGGCCTTGATGCTGCCTGCTCTACATGGCCTTGAGGCTGCCTGATCGACATGGCCTTGAGGGTGCCTGCTCAACAGGGCCTTGTGGCTGCCTGCTCTACATGGCCTTGTGGCTGCCTGATCTACATGGCCTTGTGGCTGCCTAATCTACATGGCCTTGAGGATGAGTGCTCTGCATGACCTGGAGGCTGCCTGCGCTACATGGCCTTGTGTATGACTGATCTACATGGCCTTGTGGCTGCCTGCTCTACATGGCCTTGTGGCTGACTGATCTACATGGCCTTGTGGATGCCTGCTCTACATGGCCTTGTGGATGCCTGCTCTACATGGCCTTGTGGCTGCCTGATCTACATGGCCTTGTGGCTGCCTGATCTACACGGCCTTGTGGATGCCTGCGCTACATGGCCTTGTGGCTGCCTGATCTACATGGCCTTGAGGCTGCCTGCTCTACACGGCCTTGTGGATGCCTGCTCGACATGGCCTTAAGGCTGCCTGATCTACATGGCCTTGTGGCTGCATGATCTACATGGCCTCGTGGATACCTGCTCTACATGGCCTTGTGGCTGCCTGCTCGACATGGCCTTGTGGCTGCCTGATCTACATGGCCTTGTGACTGCCTGATCTACATGGCCTTTTGGCTGCCTGATCTACATGGCCTTGTGGCTGCCTGCTCTACACGGCCTTGTGGATGCCTGCTCGACATGCCTTAAGGCTGCCTGTTCTACATGGCCTCGTGGATACCTGCTCTACACAGCCTTGTGGATGCCTGCTCTACATGGCCTGTGGCTGCCTGATTTACATGGCCTTGTGGCTGCATGATCATCATGGCCTTGAGGCTGCCTGATTTACATGGCCTTGAGGCTGCCTGCACTACATGGCCTTGTGGATGCCTGATCTACATGGTCTTTTGGCTATCTGATCTACACAGCCTTGTGGCTATCTGATCAACACAGCCTTGTGGCTATCTGATCTACACAGCCTTTTGGCTATCTGATCTACACAGCCTTGTGGCTATCTGATCAACACAGCCTTGTGGCTATCTGATCTACACAGCCTTGTGGCTATCTGATCAACACAGCCTTGTGGCTATCTGATCTACACAGCCTTTTTGGCTATATGATCTGCACAGCCTTTTGGCTATCTTATCTACACAGCCTTTTGGCTATCTGATCTGCACAGCCTTTTGGCTATCTGATCTACACAGCCTTGTGGCTATCTAATCTACCCAGCCTTTTGGCTATCTGATCTACACAGCCTTTTGGCTATCTGATCTACATGGCCTTGTGGCTATCTGATCTACATGGCCTTGTGACTGCATGATCTACACAGCCTTGTGGCTGCCTGATCTACACCTTGCTTGCAAGTGAGGCAATGGATGGGTTCCTTACTACACCACAGAGTAGCTGTATGTTTTCACAGGAGATGGAGGAAGGTAGTGTTTACACCCCCCAAGTGTTGATGGGGACCATGACAAGGGGACGTGGATGATCTGTGAGTGTTAACAGCTGATATGAGCAATGTGAGAACCAACTGAAGTCAGCAATGTGAGAACCAACTGAGGTCAGCGATGTGAGAACCAACTGAGGTCAGCGATGTGAGAACCAACTGAGGTCAGCGATGTGAGAACCAACTGAGGTCAGCGATGTGAGAACCAACTTAAATGTGAGAACCAACTTAAATGTGCCTGATTGAGGAGTTAGACTGTCAGTGCGACATCAGCAAATACAACCATTTCTAATTGGTCAGTAAACTCTACATATGAATTAAAATAAAATTGCATATACCAATTTTTTTGGAAAAATTGCTTGTTCAAAGTCATGAAAAACATAACCTTAATAATCTATATATGAACTGAAGAATAAGTTAACATTTTGAACTTCATCATCATTGGATTGTCAATATCGAGGACAAAATTAACGTCCTTGAGTATAGAAGCAAGAAAAGTAACTACACTGTTTATTTGCATTAAATTGATAGCTTTACATAATACAACAAAATGTAGGCATAGCCTTAAAACAAGATATGATTCTGTATCAGCCCTAGAAGCATAAACATTTGAGGCAAGCGAGCATATAACCATGGCGACCATACACACAGGAAGTGGGTGAAGAATCATGGGATACATCGTTGACGAAGCAATATCGCATGTTATAAAATTTGATGTAGTGGAGGTACATGAAATAACAAAAAATTCCAGAATAACTACAATTCAGTCATCATCTCCCTAGATATGCGAAATCAATTTACAGACGTCGTCGAAAACAAATGAAAGCAAATGTTCTGATCTACGCTAGGATTTTGAGGGTGATTTTGATGTGACCTGTCTACTTGTGTATTGACTGCGAAACAATGCGGAGACTTGAAGCCGTCTATACACTTGGCGGTGTGCAATAATCAAGCTGAACTTAAAATAGTTGCTGCCAAACAAAAACAGAAATTGGGTGACACTGTCAGTTAACCCACCTAGGCCGACCGAAAGCTTTTTAAGACGACCCACTTCCCTGCGGTAAGACGCGATCATGGACTCGTTCACGTCGGAAAATGCTCGTTGCCGAAACTCACCCGCAAAAGTCGGGGATTTTGACAATGCGGCATCACTGGTGAGATCCTGGATGCTGTCAGCTCGCATCTGCAACAGGAAGGAGAACATGACACAGGCTTGGATATGGTTTAACCCTGGGAAGGAATGGACTTTTGTGCATGCAACAAACAAATGGCGTCGGTAACACTGCATCTCTGACGAAACACGTGGTCAAAGCGCCACACAATTCATAAAATTCATCATGTGACAATATTAACTGTATTGCAGAAAGACATTGTGGTATTTCGAGTTCCTAAGAAATAATGGTGTACATGCAATTAGCTCCGGAAAACTTCACGTGATCGGTGCATGAACAGTTAACAATTTGATCTCCGTGATATTTTATACACATACATAATTTGTGAAAAAAATTGTAAGTTTGGGAGGGTAAGAATAATAGCGTAATTTTAGGCCCAAAAGTGCAATTTTAGATTTAAAAGTGTAATGGTTGGCATCCCTGTCATCCTAATGATTTGAACAAAACATAAGGTCATCATAAGAAGAAACATACACGACAAAGTCCAGCTCCCCAGTCTGTCAATTTCAGAGAAGATGATTCCAGTGCCAAAAATGTATTTTGAGGGAACTTTAACATGCAGGAAGAGCTGAGTGGCTATATATAGCTGCCAATGGTGGCCATATTGAAAATCAGAATAAATTTTTTTCAAATTCAGATGTGATCATTGGTAGAAAAAAGCATAGGAAGAGCAGTGGTCTCTGGGGAGATGATGTTTACAGAGAGAGGGTGCATTTTTGGAGAGAATTGTAAAGCACGGTTCAAAGTGCAAATATGTGTGTTAAGACGCAGTACTAACTACAAACTTGAACCCCTTTACAAATCTACACAAAATTCTCCTGAATTCATAAAAATATTTTGGAGATGAAGTCAAAAATGTTAAAAGTTTATGGCCGACATCAGACATTAGACGACTTGCTATGTCATAAGCTCTCATGGCCTTTCAGGCTGGGTGAGCTATTTATCTATTTAAAACAGAGAGGGCCTAGAGAGTGTTACCTGATCTTCAAGCTTGGTGGGTGAGGTTAGCATCTGTGGAAGCAAGAAGATTTGTTTGAGAAGACCCTATTCCAGCAATATTACAGCGGGGGACACCAGAAATGGGCTTCACACATTTTACCCATGTCGGGAATCGAACCCGAGTCTTCGGCGTGACGAGCGAACGCTTTAACCACTAGGCTACCCGACCGCCCCTAACTACATGAGAGAGCACTTCCTTGAATAAACTTGAATCCAAGTTTTGGATTGGTTTTGACCGACTTCAAAGACTAATCAGTAATTTTTAATTGTAAACACACCAATGTTCAATAAGTGCTGTGTTTCAAGAAGTACAGACATCAAACACAACTGTCGGAACTGTCTGCAGGAAGGTAAACATACATTCCATCTTGTAACCAATCTAATGTGTTGAATCAATTAGTTAATCAAAATGTCTGGTTCATGTTTCGATTATCTTATCCAGCTGTTGATCTGGTGCCAATATTAGAGACTTCAGATAAGCTGCACAGCAGAAAATGATTCAGGAATTACCAAGATACTTGAGAAGTTACCATGACAGAAACTGAGGCAGTCATAGCTGTCTGCAGTATGATTACCAGATGTTACGGTACACTGGAAAACACACTGTGTTATTAATAGATTCCGAAAAAGTTGTTTGAGAACTGTTTGATATTATTTCATCACTGGATTTACCAACCGATTGCAGATCTTTGACATACCAAATACAAACTATATAAAGATGTGGCATTTATTCCAAGATGTTATAAAGCAGAGTCTCAGATGGCAAACATTGGAAAGTTATTTTTAAGTCTATTGCAAACTACAAGATGAGAGATGAGTTCATAAAGCACACCAGTGAATATATTCAATAAACTGTCACACTAGAACATTAAAAATATGGAAATGTCTGTCCACAGTGGGATGTTCATGAAGATAGCAAACCTGATTGATGTTAGGGACACTGGTGGTCTTCCGTAAAGATCTCCCACTGACGGCGAGGTGTTCCTTAACAGCGACCTCCTGTTGGACACACAAGAGGATATGAGTGAGTATTGTTTTATGCCGCTTTTAGCAAATTTAAAAAAAATCATCTCCTGTCACGTTAACAAGCTTCTCCCCTCTACTGAATTAGGAAGTGCCCCACCCCCACTGAGTAATGAAGTGCCCCACCCCCACTGAGTTATGAAGTGCCCCACCCCCACTGAGCCAGGAAGTGCCCCACCCCCACTGAGTTATGAAGTGCCCCACCCCCACTGAGTTATGAAGTGCCCCACCCCCACTGAGCCAGGAAGTGCCCCAACCCCACTGAACCAGGAAGTGCCCCTGCCCTCACAATGAGCTAGGAAGTGCCCTGCCCTCCACTGAGTCAGGAAGTGCCCCATCCCCACTTCGCCTTACACTGACCTGACGTAGTCTATCAATGGTAAGGATGCTCTCCACGGCCGAGATGCCCTTGATGTACTTCTCGATGTAGGTCTCCCCATCCACAGCCTTGGTCTCGTTCTGACTAGCGGCCATCTGGGCCAGGGTCTCCATACCCTCCAGGTCCTCTGACCCCTTTGGAATGTTGGACACGACCTCATAGGTGATACCACTGGCATACAGGTAGTCCTGGAAAGAAGCAGGCATTGACATTGAGGACGAGATCTTGCAACTTTCCATCTAGTAATTGAGTTTCTATGCATATCTATCACAGCTGAGATTTGGTCCTGTACTTATGCATCCAATTATCCCACCCCTTCCAAACTAAAAATATGACACACAAACTACCCCTTCAATGAACCTGTTCTTTAGGATTGTAGGTATGACCCCGCCAATGAACAAAGTGCAATGTGCCCTTACCCTCTGATGAACCCAGCACAATGTACCCCTACCCTCTGATGAACCCAGCACAATGTACCCCTACCCTCTGATGAACCCAGCACAATGTGCCCCTACCCTCTGATGAACCCAGCACACTGTACCCCTACCCTCTGATGAACCCAGCACAATGTGCCCCTACCCTCTGATGAACCCAGCACAATGTGCCCCTACCCTCTGATGAACCCAGCACAATGTGCCCTTACCCTCTGATGAACCCAGTACAATGTGCCTCTACCCTCTGATGAACCCAGCACAATGTACCCCTACCCTCTGATGAACCCAGCACACTGTACCCCTACCTTCTGATGAACCCAGCACAATGTGCCCTTACCCTCTGATGAACCCAGCACAATGTACCCCTACCCTCTGATGAACCCAGCACACTGTACCCCTACCTTCTGATGAACCCAGCACAATGTGCCCTTACCCTCTGATGAACCCAGCACACTGTACCCCTACCCTCTGATGAACCCAGCACAATGTGCCCCTACCCTCTGATGAACCCAGCACAATGTACCCCTACCCTCTGATGAACCCAGCACAATGTGCCTCTACCCTCTGATGAACCCAGCACAATGTGCCCTTACCCTCTGATGAACCCAGCACAATGTGCCTCTCCCCTCTGATGAACCCAGCACAATGTGCCCCTACCCTCTGATGAACCCAGCACACTGTACCCCTACCCTCTGATGAACTCAGCACAATGTGCCTCTACCCTCTGATGAACCTCGTACAATGTGCCCCTACCCTCTGATGAACCCAGCACAATGTGCCCCTACCCTCTGATGAACCAAGTACAATGTGCCCCTACCCTCCGATGGACCTCGTACAATGTGCCCCTAACCTCTGATGAACCCAGCACAATGTGCCCTTACCCTCTGATGAACCCAGGACACATACCTATCCCCCTGATGAACCCATGTACCTATCCCTCTGATGAACCCAGCACAATGTGCCTCTACCCTCCGATGAACCCATGTACCTTCCCCTCAAATGAACCCATGTACCTATCCCTTTGATGACATAGTTCAGTCTACACCTACCCCTCCGATTAACCCATGTACCTATCCCTCTGATGACACAGTTCAGTCTACACCTTCCCCTCCGATGAACCCATGTACCTATCCCTCTGATGACAAAGTTCAGTCTACATCTACCCCTCTGATGAACCCATGTACCTATCCCCCTGATGACACAGTTCAGTCTACACCTACCCCTCCGATGAACCCATGTACCTATTCCCCTGACGACACAGTTCAGTCTACACCTACCCCTCCGATGAACCCATGTACCTATCCCTCTGATGACACAGTTCAGTCTACACCTACCCCTCTGATGAACCCATGTACCTATCCCTCTGATGACACAGTTCAGTCTACACCTTCCCCTCTGATGAACCCATGTACCTATCCCTCTGATGACAAAGTTCAGTCTACACCTACCCCTCCGATGAACCCATGTACCTATCCCTCTGATGACAAAGTTCAGTCTACACCTACCCCTCCGATGAACCCATGTACCTATCCCTCTGATGACACAGTTCAGTCTACACCTTCCCCTCCGATGAACCCATGTACCTATCCCTCTGATGACACAGTTCAGTCTACACCTACCCCTCCGATGAACCCATGTACCTATCCCCCTGATGACACAGTTCAGTCTACACCTACCCCTCCGATGAACCCATGTACCTATCCCTCTGATGACAAAGTTCAGTCTACACCTACCCCTCCGATGAACCCATGTACCTATCCCCCTGATGACACAGTTCAGTCTACACCTTCCTCTCCGATAAACCCATGTACCTATCCCTCTGATGACACAGTTCAGTCTACACCTACCCCTCCGATGAACCTGTTCTTGAGGATGTTGGTGAAGGAGGACAGGCTTTGCTTCTTGTAGATGTTGATGCAGACACGCTTGCGGAGGACCAGCTCCATGGATGCGGGGTGACTCAGGCGGACAACTGCCTTTAGGATGACATATATCCTCTCGTTGGCGGGCGTTAATCGGTTCAGGTGGGGAGAGTCGTGGATGGAGGAATCCCAGGATACCAGTGCACATACCTAAAGATGCATAGCATCAAAGTTCAATGCCTAATTTTCACATAAGAAGGAAACCAAATAAAATGGCTTTTAGGCTTTTTTTCTGAAGATTATTCAATAATATTTGGTGACAATAAGACATCATTCCAACTCACATTTTCCTTTTCAGTGAAGCTCTTGATGATCGGCAATGAGACAAACTGGGCTCCATGTTCCTTGGGGAGGATGGAGTTGATACCAGCAGCTTGGGAGCCTTCCTTGGCACTAGGGGTGCTCATGTCCTCCGCTGCAGTGTACAGAACAGGGTTGACATACAGAAGAAGGTTGACATACAGAACAGGGTTGACATACAGAACAGGGTTGACGTACAGAACAGGGTTGACATACAGAACAGGGTTGACACTCAGAACAGGGTGACATACAGAACAGGGGTGACATACAGAACAAGGTTGACATACAGAAGAAGGTTGACATACAGAACAGGGGTGACATACAGAACAGGGGTGACATACAGAACAAGGTTGACATACAGAACAGGGGTGACATACAGAACAGGGGTGACATACAGACTTGGCGGGCCCATTGTAACCCACATTAACATGTACAGGAAGGGGGTGACATACAGACCAGTGGGTAACATACAGAACTGGCAGGACCATTGTAACCCACATCAATATGTACAACTGAAAAGACTATTGTGATATTTGAACCAGGAGTGTATATGTTTAATGCAATTGTCAACTGACTTCATCTACATGGTTTTTTTTTATTGTGAATATGTCTGAGTGTGTGCAAGACTTACCATTAAGATCTAGGAAGAGAACTGGGGAGTGCTCCTCCATGTCATGTGGGGGGTCCCTGCAATCAACAAGGACATTTTACCTCAGGACACACACACATAGACTCACACACATGTTGTAGTTTGAACTCAGTGTTAATCAGTATTTCAGTTACATCACAGGAGTCCGCTGGATGTGGGAGTCTCGCCTGCTGTGACACAGGCCTGATGAGCTTACCACTTTGGTTAAACCCACAGGCATGGGTATAGTTCTGACAAACCAAGAAGCATGATCAGCGACACCAAGGATTCAAACCAAGGATCATCAGATTCTGGCAAACTTAAGGGTCAAACTCAGTACCGCAACTTGCGGAGTCTCAGATGACAAGGACACTTAAGCCCTAAAGTAAGTTTCAGAATCTGCTGTACAAAAATATGTTTACAAATGCTTGTTTACTTAATTGAAACTCTCAAAGTGCACATGTAAAGTGATTGTTGGTATCAGGCAAGTGTTAGATGATGGGAACAGGGAAAAAAGGAAAGCAGGTGCCCTGGTATGTTGGTAATTAGCCAAGGAGCAGTAGGAGTCAGCACCCAAGTCATGGTGATCTGTTTCTCAGAACAGAAAGGACCAATCAGAGGATGGGAAAAGGGAATCTATAGATGTGCTTGTGTGACATGCTTCAAGGACGTACCAGTCCGCAGGTGCCCCTGGTATACTGCTTCCAGGGGCGGGGACCAGAACGGCATTCCTTTCCTCTGTCAGACACACCCACTGCTCGATGAGTGCTCGTTCCCTCTCAGAATCAGCCTCAGATTTATCTGAAATCATAATAGATAAAACAGTTGCCTGAGTTTTTAATGTTGACAACAGTGACTGTAGGCAGTGAAAAGTGTGAGCAAGTTGGTGCGCCATGATTATTGGCAATGATTGGCAAATGGCTAAATAAGGAGCTATGATTATTGGTAATGACTGGTACCTGGCTTGTTGATGTGCTATGGTTATTGGTAATGAATGGCAAATGGCTTGTTGATGAGCTATGGTTATTGGTCATGAATGGTACCTGGCTTGTTGATGAGCTATGCTTATTGGCAATGAATGGCAAATGGCTTAGAAGGAGCTATGGTTATTGGTAATGAATGGTAAATGGCTTGTTGATGAACTATAATTTATGTGTAATGACTAGTACCTGGCTTGTTGATGAGCTACGGTTATTTGTAATGAATGGTAAATGGCTTGTTGATGTGCTATGATTATTGGTAATGACTGGGACCTGGCTTGTTGATGAGCTATGATTATTGGCAGTTACTGGTACCTGTAAAGCCTGCCTGTATATCCATCACTGGAAGTGACACTTACCTGGCTTATTAATGAGCTTCTGAATCTGCTCATCCAAGTAGTCTTTCCTCCTCTTGAGGGCATCAGACCAACGCTCACGGAGATGATTCAAATCCTCCTCTTGGTAACTGTCCAGACCTTTCTGAAGTTTGGATCGTACAGATATGGAACCAATAGAAACTGATGTGATTGCCTCACAGATGAGAGGCAGTGTCCCAGAGTTGGCCACGGGCTTGACACGCACCAGGATGCGCCGGGAGTGACCCTGTTGAGAGAGAAGAAAAATGAGAGAGAGCTTTCAACATGTAGAAATAATACCCCAGTTTTGCCAGGACAGAATAATCTTGTACAGGCAAAACAGAAGCTGACATATGTAGCCTTTTTTTCATGTCTACATGTGTGTGTGTGTGTGTGTGTGTGTGTGTGTGTGTGTGTGTGTGCGTGTATACTAGTATGGACTAATGCCGGCTTTATAGTGCCAACCTACTGAGATAACATGTCACAGTTTAATATGAAGACCCACTCCAACAGAGTATGCTGACTCTGAGCTGACCAGTCTCTGTTTCCGCCCCTTAATGCCGACCGCCAGGCATGATAACAACAAGAACCATCTTTTAACGTCTTTTGGTATGGCTTGTAAGGGATTTCAATCAGTGTGCCTTAAAGATCTCTTTAAGATCCCCCAGTTTTTGCAAGCTTGTCTGGATGTCCCCTAGCCTTATTCATCATGCATTATGTCAGTTATACGACGGCAAGGTATACAATAAATGGGTTTGACACATTGTACACATAGGGAATCAACCACTTGGCTGCCCTGGACTAGTGTTGTCTGCATGCTGACCTGTCTGAGTTGGAAGACACCAGCGGTGGGGACATCAGGTTTTGGCATGACTTCAACAGGCATGTACTCTCCCTGGTCATTCAGCTCATGCACCTCGGACCAGAACTCAATCTTCCTCATCACCTCATTCCATCTGAAACATGAGGAGACTTGTACAGTATTATGGACACATGTCATATTACACCTTATGAAGACATCTTGCCAATTGTGTCACAATAAATGATGGCATGAGTGAGGCATTAAATGTTGTTTGACACTGCTCTCTGAACACAACAACTGTTGCACCATTGCCTGTAAATAGTTGTTTGTTTGTTGTTTAACGCTGCACTCAACAATAGTTCAGGTAAATGATAGTGGTTTGAAAAACATCGAGTCTGGACCAGACAATCCAGTGACTGACATTATGAACATCGATCAACGCAATTGGGATAAGATTTTTGGGTATGACTTAGCCATGGGATCGAACCACAGACATTCTGCTCTTCGGGTTGATGCTCTATCAACTACACCAGGGAGTTGTTACACACTTGTACACATTCTAAAACCCATATCCTTATTTTTCCTGACTCTTACTGCAAAACATGGGGGGATTTGGAACCTGGCTTTGAAAGTCCATGAGTGTAAGCAGTACACAGACCAGTAGCTGCATGACCCTCACCTGTCTGACAGTGTGCGTGTCTTGGCCTGTGCCGACTCCATCATGGTCCCGTTGAGGCCGAAGCCCTGACTTCTATGGCCCCACACTTCTATAGACAGCGCACCTTCAGAACAATGCTCGATGAACTCCTCCGATATCGGGATGCGGATGTCCTGACAAAGGTATTGGATGGTTAACATTGACATATCAACCAGAAGATGGGCTCCTGTGGCTCCACACTTCTATAGACAGCACCTCGAGAACAATTCTCTATGAACTCTTCAGATACTAGGAGGTAGATGTTCTGTTAGCATCAGCACACATCTGTCTACAGTAGCCCCTTCATTAACCATTTACTAGGCAAGGCTTAACTATATAATGAGTATTAACTTGAAGTGTGGTCCTTGCCTTTAAAACATAACAGCACTAGTTGGTAAAGACAAATCTGTAAACTAAGCAAGTGAGTAAATGACAGGGGTTGTTGTTGAGGACGTTTCAGATGCAATAAGATCAAAGCCAAAAGTATTTCCAAGGTAATGTCTGAGTTTGATTCTGGTCCAAATAAACCAGCAGCCTACAGAGAAGACCAGGTGTTCATCAAGTTAAGAAGACACTAGCTAAAAGCAACAACATAATGATATGTAAAAATGGAAACATGATCAGCCTGATTCTGTGGAACCATATGCAAGTTAAATATGCTACACCTTTAATTTCCTCTTATTTCATACATTTACCTGATCAGGTAAACTGTCTCCTGCTTACTATTTATGTTTACCCTGACAAAATGCTCATTTCCCTGACCTTCAAGCAACATTGCCCTGACCTTCAGGCAACATTTCTCTGACCTTCAAGCAACATTGCCCTGACCTTCAAGCAACATTTCCCTGACCTTCAAGCTACATTTCCCTGACCTTCAAGCTACATTGCCCTGACCTTCAAGCTACATTTCCCTGACCTTCAAGCTACATTGCCCTGACCTTCAGGCAACATTTCTCTGACCTTCAAGCAACATTGCCCTGACCTTCAAGCAACATTTCCCTGACCTTCAGGCAACATTGCCCTGATCTTCAAGCTACATTGCCCTGACCTTCAGGCAACATTTCCCTTTGACCTTCCCCTTGATAGGTGCATGACTTTCATGACGTAGTACCTTGGACATGATCACTTGTATGTGAATTTATTCAACTCACATTTTCATGGTTGAATATAAAGGAGACAGTGTCCTGTTTGGTGATGATCTCTGGGTTGACCTCTGGAGGTACCACCATGGGGTCTCGCTCTCCCCAGAAGGAGTACTGACAGAACACAAAGTTACACAAGGCTGGTGGCAGACCTCGGGCTTCTCGGATCTTGATCTGCAAAACCAGAAGTGCACATATATTAAATAGAATACAGCCAACAAGGAAACTGACATACAGTAAACTATGGTTATAATGAACTCAAGGGACCACTAATTCTAGTTCGATATAATCCTAGTTCGCTGTAAACACATATACAGCATATGTACAGCAAATAGTCATGTCAAAGAAAATGAGTTTGTTATATCCGTCAGTTTGTTATAAGCGTGCTCGAGACAAAAGTAGTTTACTGAAATAACACATCCAAGATAAAGGACTTTTTGAGAAAATAGGATATCATTCAGATAGAACATTGCAATTATGAGAGATCCTTGATATAATTGGAGATCCTTAAAGATGCCAATGAAATTATGGGAGATCCTTGAAAGGTCCATTGACATAATGGGAGATCCTTGATAGAAGATTTGACATAATGGGTGATCCTTGATAGAAGACTTAATATAATGGGAGATCCTTGATAGAAGACTTGTCATAATGGGAGATCCTTGATAGAAGACTTAACATAATGGGAGACCCTTGATAGAAGACTTGACATAATTGGAGATCCTTGATAGAAGACTTGACATAATGGGAGATCCTTGATAGAAGATTTGACATAATGGGAGATCCTTGATAGAAGACTTGACATAATGGGAGATCCTTGATAGAAGATTTGACATAATGGAAGATCCTTGATAGAAGACTTGACATAATGAATGATCCTTGATAGAATACTTGACATAATGGGTGATCCTTGATAACAGATTTGACATAATGGGAGATCCTTGATAGAAGATTTGACATAATGGAAGATCCTTGATAGAAGACTTGACATAATGAATGATCCTTGATAGAAGACTTGACATAATGGTTGATCCTTGATAACAGATTTGACATAATGGGAGATCCTTGATGGAAGATTTGACATAATGGGAGATCCTTGATAGAAAACTTGACATAATGAATGATCCTTGATAGAAGACTTGACATAATGGGTGATCCTTGATAGAAGACTTGACATAACGGGTGATCCTTGATAGAGAATCTTAAGATAATGGGAGATCCAAGACAGACGACATTGACTTAATGATATTGATCCTTGATAAAGGACCAAGATATTATTAAAGTTCCTTCACATTCCATAGAACGTACCCGGACCATCAGTGGGGCTCCCATGGGCACATTATTATCCTCCTCCCCGTTGTCAGATGTCAGGTCCACATAGCGGTCCAGTACAGCGCCACCCATCTTGGACACCTCCACGTGAAGCTTCCCTGCAACCTACAGACAGGACCAGAATTAGTTGGCAACAGGAACTATTAGCTGGACAAACACAAATCTTCAAACGTGAGTAGCAATACTGTGTAGGAGTTCATCAAAGGAAGAGGTTCATGTCAACAAGGTTGTGCATGTCTGTTGGTATATATGAAAATTATGTGAAGGACCTTGAGAAATTAAAGCCTAATTCTTGTGTTGGTTGGAACATCAGCTTACAAATGAAATATCAAACAAAAGCTATCACTGTTAATGATTACAAGAATACCACTTCTATTACATCATTGCAGTAAGTCCTGTATTTTGACTGTCATCAGACAATAAATATCTTTAGATTTTCAACTGAAGTCCTCTCCACTTTGAGCTATCTATTATCAATTGTTCTTCCACTGTCACATGCGTGGGAAATACTCACTTCCTTCCAATAATCAGGTGCAGATGATTGGGGAGTTGGGTGGAAGAAGTGAGGTTTTCCACCATGCATGTAAATGGGTGCATTGGAGGGCGGGATACTATTACTTGCACAACTGACTATGGATAGTTGACAGTAAAGATGATATCTGTTGACTTCCATAGTATGATGAAAGCCAAAATACAGGATTTATGGCAATGACGTCATAGAGGTAGAGCAAGAATTTAAAGATATCATGAGCTTGGATCCCTGCCATGTGGGTACAAGGACATGGAATCAGCCAAGTCACTAAGTAGGATGACCTGATCAAAAATTGTTTAACATGCCCAGATGTTATTTATTGGAAAGAGATTTATTGGAAAGCTGTTGACGGCTGCATGAATGAATGACCGACTACAGAAGACGACAGATTTATAAAACAAACAGACCAGGGCTGTAAGTGTATGAATGCATCCACTATCTATGAGGAGGTGAGGGGAAAGGTGGTTTGACATCGCAGCAAAGATTATTGCACTTTTATAGCGACGTGCAGGCATGTGTGTTGTGTGTATGTGTGGTTGCTTGTACTTGTCTGGAGTAATGCTGATTTTATAGTGCTAGCCCCCTGAGATACCATGCAGCAGTATAACATGAATACCCCACTCAGACACAGTATACTGACTCCGAGCCTACCAGTCCTTGTGTAAGCCCCTTAATGCTGAGCGCCAGTAACAACAAGTACCATCTTGTAACGTCTTACGGTATGCAGCTGGCAAGAGACACAAGAAATAGGCTTCACACCTTGTACTCATGTGGGGAATCAAACCCAGGCCTTTGGTGTGAGGAGCGAATGCATTAACCACTAGGCTAGCCACCCCCTGTAAATGTACAACGGCACCCACCTCGCCTTGTTGGCTGATGATTGGTACATGGTAGTCCAACTTCACATCATAAAATAAACACTCCAGAAAGATATTGGCTACCCCGATGAGGTTGTGGTTTTCCTGAGACTCGTAGAAAGGGTCGCCTTTGACTGGTGGACCCTCATCCTGTAGGAAAACACAGTCAATGAAATGAAAAACAACTGACTATTCACATACATTAACTCAGATGAGTGAAATCTAGACAGTAATGAGATAGTATAACTCAATTTATCTCTTAACTACAATCTCTCTTTACTACGATCTCTCTTTACTACGATCTGGTTCCTGAGATTATCTATTTCATTACATTACAGAATCATCAGATGCAACCAATCTGTTACGGTATATTTTGTATTTCATGTGAATCAGAAGCTGATTATTATTTTCTGGACAAAACGTTAGACTTGTGATGTGGATGAAAGAGTGTCAATTCCCATAGCCAGTTATTAGTGAAAACTTGGATCACACAGTCCATTTCCAACAAAAATGTGCTGAAATAAAAAGGCCCTGTTTTATATAACGAAGCAAAAAACTTTGATGGCAAAGCTTATTTCTTAATTTTCAAAGAATCTTGTTTGCAAGCTTTAAGCCTAATAATTCCCATCTGAGTAAAAACACACTTCCTCCTAATTGGTTCGCTGTGAGTTAAAGCCAGGCCGCTTTCCACAACTCCTTGAAAAGGATTAGGCCATGCTATTTAGTAATGGTGCTTTGATAAAAACATGTGGACCACAGAACTGAAGAAGACAATATTGCAGCTGAGCTACCATCGACCAGAGCCAAGTGACAGACTTCAAGACCCACGAATGAAGAGAGGCACATCACTTGAAGCAAATTAACATACTGACGACTATCAATGAATGACAGATGGGGAGGTGGAAAATAATCGGAGAAATATGAAGCTGTGGTCAATGATAGAGAACCAGCGAGAGAGAGTTGGTGAAGACAATGTTGCGCTGACATCGACAACTTACCTCTTGCAGTCACTAGTGTTATACAGCTGAAACTAGGTGCTGACAATCTCCAAATGAAATGTCTAATAGTAGCTTGTCCATGTGACTGCATGAATATGTAAACTGACTTATACAGTACTTGAATATTCATTTCAATAGGATGTTCAGAATTTGCTTCAGCAGCAGAATCTTTAAGTTTTAGAAGATATTCAAAGATACCTGTCTCATAACTCAAAATCGTTCCCAAATTCTACCAGAAATATGCTTTCTAGGAATTAACCAAATCTGTTTTATCCTGTAAACAAACGCCAACATGCTGAGATCTCAGTGTATCAATCACATGATATATCCAATACAACGTATGCTTTTCTGAATTTTTGTACGAGTTAATGGTACATTTCTGTGTTTTTTAAAGATAGAGGATATTCTCACACTGTTTGTTTCACTATGATAAGTTTCTGTTCTCACATACAGTCAACACACAGAGTTGGATATGATGATAATTAAAAATTAATAATTAACTGTGTAAAGTGTCCATATCAAGAAGTGACTCGACAAACAAAATCAAGCACATTATGACCAAACTGTCAATTAACTGATGAAATATTACATAAAATTTACAAATAACTGGCCAAAATTAAATCTTGACCATTTGAATTCAACTGTAAGGCTGTTATTTTTCTAGTAGCCAGGGATTTATCTAGGAGTTTCAACCAAGTCCCTGTGGCAAGCAATTTGATAAATAGTGAACATTACTTTGTAAGAATATGTTCAGAGAACAAGAGTGATTTTCTTAAATTCTGAGGTATTTTTATCATTTTACCATTCCATCGATTGCAATAGTTTAAAACTAAGAAGTAAAAAAACAGACTATTCATTGAGTTTTAAAACTGAGGGATAAAACTAAATTGGAAATTAACACAAATTTGAGAATCTTGAAATTTGTCATAGCGTTTGATGCTGCCCAGCTGTAGTCCCAGGTAGCACTATGCCCTGTGTTGACTGTATGTTGTGAGACTGTATAATCATGCAGTACACAATCCTGCCAAACGCAAGCCATGCAGTGAAGCAAACACACCATATTGCCCTCAGAGATGTCAAAGAAGGACATCTCGGCATCACTGACGTCCAGAACGTTTTGTACCATCATCGGGAGTCCCTGGGACTTGCGCTCTTCGTACATCTCACGCATGTCAATGATCTTGTTCTCCAACTTCTCCATTGACCAGATCTGATTGGCTCGGCCACGCCGCTTCACCTGGATGGCAGGTTCGCTGACGAATGTTCCTCTCTGAAATATTGGTACTGGTTGAATGTCACATGCAACAGTGAATGTACAGGTTCACTTTGGGAGAGAAACATCACAATTATCCTAGTCTCACAATGTAACAATTCAATCTTTAGTTCAGTCCCCTCTTGGGAAAGGACGGGGTACTGGGGACTGTTCGGACAAAAGGAAACAACAATGAGGAGATAAATATTCTGCGTTTTCAGATTTGCAGCTTTTACTGAATATTCGATGCCCAGGAATATCATTTGGAATTTCAAATTGTCAAAACAACCAGGCATCAAATACTCAATAATACTATGTTCCTGGAATACTATGCCGTCACTCTGGAATACTATGCTCCTGGAATACTATGCCGTCACTCTGGAATACTATCTCGTCACTCTGGAATACTATGCTCCTGGAATACTATCCCATCACTCTGGAATACTATGCTCCTGGAATACTATGCCGTCACTCTGGAATACTATACCATCAGTCTGGAATACTATGCTGTCACTCTGGAATACTATGCTCCTGGAATACTATGACGTCACTCTGGAATACTATGCTCCTGGAATACTATGCCGTCACTCTGGAATACTATGCCGTCACTCTGGAATACTATGCTCCTGGAATACTATGCCCCTGGAATACTATGCCGTCACTCTGGAATACTATCTCGTCACTCTGGAATACTATGCCGTCACTCTGGAATACTATCTCGTCACTCTGGAATACTATGCCGTCACTCTGGAATACTATCTCGTCACTCTGGAATACTATGCCATTACTCTGGAATACTATGCCGTCACTCTGGAATACTATGCCGTCACTCTGGAATACTATGCTGTGACTTTGGAATACTATGCCGTCACTCTGGAATACTATGCCATCACTCTGGAATACTATGCCGTGACTTTGGAATACTATGCCATCACTCTGGAATACTATCCCGTCACTCTGGAATACTATGCCATCACTCTGGAATACTATGCCATGACTTTGGAATACTATGCCGTCACTCTGGAATACTATGCCGTGACTTTGGAATACTATGCCATCACTCTGGAATACTATGCCGTGACTTTTGAATACTATGCCATCACTCTGGAATACTATGCCATCACTCTGGAATACTATGCCGTGACTTTGGAATACTATGCCATCACTCTGGAATACTATCCCGTGACTTTGGAATACTATGCCGTCACTCTGGAATACTATGCCGTGACTTTGGAATACTATGCCGTGACTTTGGAATACTATGCCGTGACTTTGGAATACTATGCCATCACTCTGGAATACTATGTCATCATATGATTCTGACACAAGGTTTTTCAAGTTTGGAATTGAGAATGAAAAGAGATACTTATCCAGAAATATATTTACGAGCAGTGAATAGGTAGTCCTGGATATTTCCAGGCTTTGATTTCCATTTCATCATGTTTTTCAACCAACAGACTGCAGCAAACACTCCCAGACAATTTTGGGACAAAGGGGGGTAATTCTACCATTCAATCTCCATGAGACAAGCATGGGAGGATCATGTGGGAGGTTGAGGACACAAACACAGAAGGTGACAAGCTATCATGGGGGACTGGGGATCTATTCTGCCATGGAATCCCCCATATCTTTTCACACTTATTACAGGGACCTAGCATTTCTGCCCTTGAAACTCCATAGAGACTCGTGTAAGCTGAGACACAAAGCAGAAATCCATGTGTTAGTCAGGGATTAAACTCTTCCTCTCCCTAATCATGACGAGTTGAAGTGAGGGATAGAAAGTATCAGCAGCCTAAGGGCCTAAATCACAGTGTCCACAACACATATCCTGCAAGTTGATAGAATTCCTATACTTCTTCGTAGCTCCTATCTGGTTAACATTTAAAACCTCATAGTCTTTTTTAAATGAATAAAAAATAACTCTTTTATCAGAAGAAATGGTTAAAATAACCAAATTTATGGAAATTTTAATAATTTATATATCCAGATGCCAATAACACCCTATCAACGTGTCTGATCTTGTCTGACACGTGTACATCCTAACTTTCCATATTGTCAAGATGATCTTGTTACATGTGAGTCGATGCATGTATTTGATGAGATTTGTACTGAGCATCTCTGGATTGCATCAACAAAACATCAAATATCTTGAATGTAGAGCTGTAAATGTTCTTTCGCAACAACATCACATGACAAACTCCTGGAACTATAGAACCAACAGATATTTTCCAGTTAGAATTGTTTGAAACAAAAGAAATTTCAATTTCAATTTCAATTTCAATCTTTTCAATTTGAATAAAAATGGAAATACTGCATTTTGAAAAAATATAATTCCTCAACAAAATAACACTACAGAATCAATGGATACATTTTCATTACATTGATAGCTGAATCAAAAATACATTTTGCTAATAGCTTTAAATATCTTATGCAATTAGTTATTTCTGAAACTCAATACATTTAGTTTTGAATTTTCATTACTGTTTCCATAGCAACTGTGAGATCTGAATCTTGGTAAAGGGTACAGAACATAGGTGCAGTTGGTTGAATGCTGTGCACTGAACATTACAGTCCGTGCCATCCTTGTTGTGGGGTGTTCTGATGACTTCTGTAGCTGATGAACAGTTAACACTGTTTAGGTTCACTGGTTCTGTATATTTTTACATTCAGTCTCATTAAGTGTTCTTGTTTATGGACTGTTGTGTTCATGTTTATGGACTGTTGTGTTCATGTTTATGGACTGTTGTGTTCATGTTTATGGACTGTTGTGTTCATGTTTATCATAAGAAAGGCCAACACCTGAGAACATTCGATTAGCCACTGCAATGGAATCCATTGGGCGTGAAAGGCAAAAAAGCGTTGATAATTAAAGGAATCGATTTCTAAAAATCAGTGATGACACCAGGTGTTCCGAAAAAAGGGTTAAAGCATTTGAGCATTTGTGAGTATTACACACAGTCCACCATGGGCATTTGTGAGAATTACACACAGTCCACCATGGGCATTTGTGAGAATTACACACAGTCCACCATGGGCATTTGTGAGAATTACACACAGTCCACCATGGGCATTTGTGAGAATTACACACAGTCCACCATGGGCATTTGTGAGAATTACACACAGTCCACCATGGGCATTTGTGAGAATTACACACAGTCCACCATGGGCATTTGTGAGCATTACACACAGTCCATTGTGGATTATGTTCATGTTTATGCACACAGTCCATTGTGGGTTATGTTCATGTTTATGCACACAGTCCATTGTGGGTTATGTTCATGTTTATGCACACAGTCCATTGTGGATTATGTTCATGTTTATGCACACAGTGCATTGTGGGTTATGTTCATGTTTATGCACACAGCCCATTGTGGATTATGTTCATGTTTATGCACACAGTCCATTGTGGGTTATGTTCATGTTTATGCACACAGTCCATTGTGGGTTATGTTCATGTTTATGCACACAGTCCATTGTGGATTATGTTCATGTTTATGCACACAGTGCATTGTGGGTTATGTTCATGTTTATGCACACAGTCCATTGTGGATTATGTTCATGTTTATGCACACAGTGCATTGTGGGTTATGTTCATGTTTATGCACACAGCCCATTGTGGGTTATGTTCATGTTTATGCACACAGTCCATTGTGGATTATGTTCATGTTTATGCGCACAGTCCATTGTGGGTTATGTCCATGATTATGCACAGTCCACTGTCAACAAACACTGCTTCTATTTGCATGGTGTGTTGTCGTGAATTGATGTGACAAACCATACAAACCAAATCACATTGATAGGTTTTCCCACGCTATCATATTTGAGATCAGCTCTTTTCTTAATCCACATACAAGTTTTCTATCAGTTATTTTGGTAAATTCATCTAAGATTACGACACAGAAACTGCATTTAGAAGGACTACATTTCCATGGTTACACCAATATATGTTAGTCATGTCACATGTTAGCGGGTTTCTGTCAATACATCATCTCAGTTTCATCAATGCCGTCATATCTAAAGTTACACAAATCCAATCACGTCTTGATATCAGTGTTGAAATATATCGCAAGGCAGCACGGGGCTAATCGTGGTACGTCCATTCTTCATGTCCACTCTAAGGCTATGACGGGGTGTTTGCTCTCCTTTGGACACACCGCGACCTGCTTTATGATCAGCTGATGGATTTTCTGAAGATAGGCAATCTGGAGTAATCTTTCATTTGAAAGAGTGATCTTTTATTTGAAAGTGCAATCTTCCAATGAAATATAAACATTTGTTGATGGACTGTTCATATTGCCATTGTGGAAAATAATAGGGACGATGGTGAAAACTTCCATGTAGAGTGCTCCATATTGATTAAGCAGGCTTTCCAAACCCTGTATTTGTGTTCAGCGTTTTGCACACACAAAACAACATGCTTAAAAAAACCTGGAAGAGAAGTCATCTTTGATGGATATGATTGAATATGCTGCTGATCAATGCCGCATACACCACTCAGCTATTGATAGGGGTGCTGAGAAATATCACACCACTTACATGTAGTGGCAGCAATCAGTTTTGGAGGATCATGGAATGATTAAACTATTTTTCAAATAAATGAATTGCCTAACAATGGGTGTGTGTGATCTTTGTGTTTAGATAGCTTTGTGAACATTAAAATGTGTGAAATTTACTTAATCGGAGTAGATATCATGTTACAATGACATTCTCCATTTTCTTGCAATTATATTTGTGTGAAGACATGAATTGCAAACAGCACTTTACAATAATGATTGGATGTGCAACTGACCAATGAATAAATAATGAAAAGTTGAATAGACTCATTTGACATTTAGTGCACCATTTGTGTGAAGTAGTGAGTTGTGCTTAATGCCGCTTTTAACAGTATTACAGTTATATCAAGGAATGTCAGCTTAATGTGAGAGGAAAGCCCGAAGTAATGCAGGTCTTAGACGTTTACCACTTTGGTGAAACCCACGAGCATGGGTATAGTGCTGACAAACCAAGAAAATGTATTGGGGCGAACCGGGATTCGAACCCACAATCATTGGTTTCTGGTGTGCCCAAGGGACGCAACTCTGCAATGAGTATTGCGGCGTCTTAGACGACTTGGCCAACTGTACCCCCTTAGTGTGAAGTAACAAGCTATGTCTGCCACATGAAATATTAACTCTGAACATTACAATTTCTGGCTCCTGCTTGGATATACATTCTGATAAATAACATTTCTGATAATCCTTATGTCTACTTGACACGACTTTCAGATAGTAATCGTTGAAACATCTTACCTACACATTGTACTCAGCAATATCAACAATATTGTCAACATGTAACAAATGTTATATTTGGGATAACACTTTTTAAAGTAAAGTACAGATTCTAGTACTTTATTGGGTTAAGTCCCGTCCGGGATTTGAACCCGATCCAGGCCTCATTTACATATGACCACTTTCTAAATGGCATTGTGTGTTCATAATATTGTCAACAGTTTAGATTCACAGAAAGTGAATTACTGAGAAGAGTCTGTGACACCCTTATTTGCCTTTTGTGTAAATATATGAACAGACTGGGCCAGATTGTGCCTGAAGTCTGCTTCTGGCTGTGGATAAAGTTACAGGTCTCCTGCAGGGATTAGAGATCAAAAGAGTGTGTTTTACCTTCCTGTTGGGGCTGAGGTTAGCAGCAGGTATCTGTAGAGTCACATGGAACTCGGTCTGCTTGCCCATCTCCTTTGCTAGGTTGTTGGCCTCCCTGACCAGTGTGTTCGCCTTGACCACCTCCTCCCGCAGCTTGACCAGGCTATGCAGGAACACCTTCTCTCTACAACACAGGGAGGACACGTGTGACGGACAATAGCAACACCTTCCTACAACACAGGGAGGACATGTGTGAGGGACAATAGCAACACCTTCCTACAACACAGGGAGGACATGTGTGACGGACAATAGCAACACCTTCCTACAACACAGGGAGGACATGTGTGACGGACAATAGCAACACCTTCCTACAACACAGGGAGGACATGTGTGAGGGACAATAGCAACACCTTCCTACAACACAGGGAGGACATGTGTGAGGGACAATAGCAACACCTTCCTACAACAGAGAGAGGACATGTGTGAGGGACAATAGCAACACCTTCCTACAACAGAGAGAGGACATGTGTGAGGGACAATATTATAAACCTATTCATTGGGATCGCTATTAAGTAAGAGACTTCTTTCTATAGGCATTAAAACCTGTTGTGAGGTTTTACTTTCCAGTCGGGTTAAATCTCATAAACATGGACGTTGTAATGTCCCTGGGATTTTATATAATGTCCTGGGTATTTTATTAATATAACTTCCGTTCATATTGTAACATGTAATGAAATGTAAAATCAAATGACAAATGTTTTCTTTATATTCCCCAGGATCGAACTCGCAACCTTCATATCTGTAGCCCAGTGAGTTTCATGTGACTGATTTTGTTCACATTTGCATGGTTGTTTTTGTTGGTGAAAAAACTCACACATATCAATTTGGACTCATATAAGCTTGGGGTCCAAGCTTCACGTAACGGAGGGAAGTTGTCATGGTGACTGATTTACGACACCCATTGTCTGAAGAACATTTGATTGCAAAGGCTCATTACCCTGAAGCCATGACATCTATATGCCTTGAAACATTTAATTGCTGTTATTTATAAGATGCTAATCCTAAGTGTTAATCCCCAGTTTTGTGTACATCGACCGTCTGCCATCCTGAACAGGATGTGCAAGTATGTCACTGATGATTTACTGTTTATATTTATATTTATTACTTACTAAATGTCAGGTGACCTTGGCTATATAAGTCTTGGTCCAGAATGATTGAGAGAAGAGAAGGGGTTTGACTCTCTTACCAAGCAGACCTCTCTCCCTCAGCCCAGAGTGTGTACCGACTCTCTGTGGCACCCTCAGTTATTTTCTAAGATATTGTAAATTGTTAATTGTTCTTGTAAATAAAATTGTGATTAGTCTCCTGTGACTCTGGCTCTTTGCTGACTAATTCCCCAAGAAAAACCAGCACGTCATTTGGAAGGTATTGTTCACCCAGAACAGTTCCATGATAGTACCATGAGGCTACAGAGGTGTTGATAAGCCTCACTGGTTTTTAGAATGTCCTTTTCAAGATCCGTACGCCAGCAAGAGATATTTTACGCGCGTTTCCTAAGGTTCATGGAAAGTATGTTCGAAACATAAAAATGTTGATAAATGTTGTTTTAAGTTTCTTTTTTTGGTTTATAAGCATGGAAAAACACTTTCACTCGGTTTTGGTAGACAGAGCATGCCCTGGGGGTCGGGAAAAACCGTGAGGGCTTCGCCCCCTTGGTTTTTCCCTCTCCCCAGGGCATGCTTTGTCTACCAAAACCTCGTGAGCGTGTTTTCTCCAATACGCAACACCTTCCTACAACAGAGAGAGGACATGTGTGAGGGACAATAGCAACACCTTCCTACAACAGAGAGAGGACATGTGAGGGACAATAGCAACACCTTCCCCTACAACAGAGAGAGGACATGTGAGGGACAATAACAACACACAATCTTTTTTGAAAACAGGGAAGACAGATGAGGGGGAAAAAACATCTTCTATGAAAAATATCCTTTTCTTTTGATAAAGATATTTGCATGGTAAGTTGGGGTATGGAGTGGTCTCTTGAACTTCATGAGTTCATGAAGTGACATTCTAACAAATCATTCCTGACCTGTCTACAAAGTAAGACCCAAATCTGCAGATATTGCATGAAATAATTGCCTTGAAAGAACTGTTCTGTTTGATTGTTGTCAGTGTGACAGTTGACCTTATCACTGGTCAATGTCAGTGGCCATAAAACCTTGAAATGTGTTTGCCTTCGAGTGGTCTAAAAACCCAAATCTAGTCCTAACCATCAATACTTATTGAAGGACAATGGAAGGTTGGATCTGCAACATTAAGCTGTGAGTCTCTGTCAGTAAAATGTCGTGCCTGGATGAAGGTTTGCATGGTAACAAAATCCTGATGGAGCTATACTTAGTCCATGAGCCAGACTGATACAGACAGATTCTGGGACACACGAGATGACAGCCAGTTGCTCCAGGAGTAGTCAATCTCAATAGGACACAATGCTAAGTTCTTACAAAGATTTAGTTACAACTATGTTACTTTAAATATGAGACTACTGAAAAGCACTTAAAAATGTTCAATTAACATCCTTCTTCAGACCAAATGAAGACCTTTTATAGTCTTGAGAATCATGCCTGTTGCAGAGTGCAGAACACATGGGCCAGCATTAATGTTCAAGCCACACAGCAATTAGTAATAGGTTGATGCATGTGGAACAGAAGCTGTCAGACTATGAAAGAATGCCTTTTATCTCAACATCGAGGAGGTATACCAGAGAAGAGGAACACATCAACAGGGATGAGGAACACATCAACAGAGATGAGGAACACATCAACAGAGATGAGGAACACATCACAATAGAAACCGAGAACACGTCTCACAAGGGAAAAGGAACACATGTCTGCAAAGGTGAAACACATGTCATCAAGAAGGAACACATATCACCAAGGTGAAACACATGTCACAAAGAAGGAACACATATCACCAAGGAGGAACACATGTCATCAAGAAGGAACACATGTCACCAAGAAAGAACACATGTCATCAAGGAGGAACACATGTCACCAAGAAAGAACACATGTCATCAAGGAGGAACACATGTCACCAAGGAGGAATATGTGTCATCAAGGAGGAACACATGTCACCAAGGATGAACACATGTCACCAAGGATGAACACATGTCACCAAGGATGAACACACATCACCAAGGAGGAAGACATGTCACCAAAGAGGAACATAAGTCATCAAGGAGGAACACATGTCACCAAGAAGGAACACATGTCATCAAGTGAGTGAGTATGGTTTTACGCTGCTTTTAGCAATATTCCAGCAAAATCACGGCAGGGGACACCAGAAATGGGCTTCAGACATTGTAACCATGTCGGGAATCGAACCCAGGTCTTCGTCGTGACAAGCGAACGCTTTAACCACTAGGCTACCCGACCGCTCCGCGTCATCAAGGAGGAACACACATCACAAGGGAGGAACACATAACAGCAAGTTGGAACAGGAACACGTCATGAAGAAGGAACATGTGTCATCAATGAGGAACACATGTCACCAAGGAGGAACACACATCATCAAGGAGGAACACACATCGCCAAGGAGGAACTCACATCACCAAGGAGGAACACATGTCATCAAGGAGGAACACATGTCACCAAGGAGGAACATGTGTCATCAAGGAGAAACACATGTCACCAAGGATGAACACACATCACCAAGGAGGAACACATGTCACCAAGGAGGGATACGTCACCAAGGAGGAACATGTGTCATCAAGGAGGAACACATGTCACCAAGGATGAACACACATCACCAAGGAGGAACACATGTCAGTAAGGAGGCACACATGTCATCAAGGAGGAACACACGTCAGTAAGGAGGAACACATGTCATCAAGGAGGAACACACATCACAAGGGAGGAACACATAACAGCAAGTTGGAACAGGAACACGTCATGATGAAGGAACATGTGTCATCAAGGAGGAACACATGTCATCAATGAGGAACACATGTCACCAAGGAGGAACACACATCATCAAGGAGGAACACATGTCATCAATGAGGAACAAATGTCATCAAGGAGGAACACACATCACAAGGGAGGAACACATAACAGCAAGTTGGAACAGGAACCCGTCATGAAGAAGGAACATGTGTCATCAAGGAGGAACACATGTCATCAATGAGGAACACATGTCACCAAGAAGGAACACACATCATCAAGGAGGAACACACATCACCAAGGAGGAACTCACATCACCAAGGAGGAACACATGTCAGCAAGGAGGAACACACATCACCAAGGAGGAACACATGTCACCAAGGATGAACACATGTCACCAAGGATGAACACACATCACCAAGGAGGAAGACATGTAACCAAAGAGGAACATAAGTCATCAAGGAGGAACACATGTCACCAAGAAGGAACTCAAGTCATCAAGTGAGTGAGTATGGTTTTACGCTTCTTTTAGCAATATTCCAGCAAAATCACGGCAGGGGACACCAGAAATGGGCTTCAGACATTGTAACCATGTCGGGAATCGAACCCGGGTCTTCGTCGTGACAAGCGAACGCTTTAACCACTAGGCTACCCGACCGCTCCGCGTCATCAAGGAGGAACACACATCACAAGGGAGGAACACATAACAGCAAGTTGGAACAGGAACACGTCATGAAGAAGGAACATGTGTCATCAATGAGGAACACATGTCACCAAGGAGGAACACACATCATCAAGGAGGAACACACATCGCCAAGGAGGAACTCACATCACCAAGGAGGAACACACATCGCCAAGGAGGAACTCACATCACCAAGGAGGAACACATGTCATCAAGGAGGAACACATGTCACCAAGGAGGAACATGTGTCATCAAGGAGAAACACATGTCACCAAGGATGAACACACATCACCAAGGAGGAACACATGTCATCAAGGAGGAACATGTGTCATCAAGGAGGAACACATGTCACCAAGGATGAACACACATCATCAAGGAGGAACACATGTCAGTAAGGAGGCACACATGTCATCAAGGAGGAACACACGTCAGTAAGGAGGAACACATGTCATCAAGGAGGAACACACATCACAAGGGAGGAACACATAACAGCAAGTTGGAACAGGAACACGTCATGATGAAGGAACATGTGTCATCAAGGAGGAACACATGTCATCAATGAGGAACACATGTCACCAAGGAGGAACACACATCATCAAGGAGGAACACATGTCATCAATGAGGAACAAATGTCATCAAGGAGGAACACACATCACAAGGGAGGAACACATAACAGCAAGTTGGAACAGGAACCCGTCATGAAGAAGGAACATGTGTCATCAAGGAGGAACACATGTCATCAATGAGGAACACATGTCACCAAGGAGGAACACACATCATCAAGGAGGAACACACATCACCAAGGAGGAACTCACATCACCAAGGAGGAACACATGTCAGCAAGGAGGAACACACATCACCAAGGAGGAACACATGTCAGCAAGGAGGAACACACATCGCCAAGGAGGAACACATGTCATCAAGGAGGAACACACATCACCAAGGAGGAACACATGTCATCAAGGAGGAACACACATCATCAAGGAGGAACACACATCACCAAGGAGGAACTCACATCACCAAGGAGGAACACATGTCAGCAAGGAGGAACACACATCGCCAAGGAGGAACTTACATCACCAAGGAGGAACACATGTCAGCAAGGAGGAACACACATCACCAAGGAGGAACACATGTCATCAAGGAGGAACACGTCATCAAGGAGGAACACACATCATCAAGGAGGAACACACATCACCAAGGAGGAACACACATCACCAAGGAGGAACACATGTCACAATGGAAGTGCATTCCTTCCCTAAACACACCTTGGATAAATACTTGATAGTTTTGACTAATTGATCTTTCACTGTAATCAATACAGCATGCTATTCCACACTTCCAAAAAGTTCCGCTCAATATTCATCAACAAATAATTACATTCTTCAAGGCAGTATCATTTCCCCAACACCTCAACACACATCCAAGTAAGGCCTTCCTCTTCATGAATAACAAGCACCAAAAATCTATTCATCAAAAGCATTATGGATGGTTTGGTGTTTAAGCCTGATCAAAGTGTATTTCACAAAGAATAATTTCTTGACCATCTTCCAATTACAGTTCAATGAATGCTCACATTATAAAGTCATCCCTATTTTTGCAAATCTCCATGTTCTTGGGAGTCTCGACTGAAGCTGGAAGACGCTTCAAAGGAACGCCTGTTTGAAGATTTAACCACAAGGGACTGTGAGAGGATACTGTGCAAAGTAAATCCTCATGGTATGGCTTCACTCTGCTTATTTGTCAAAGTGATCAGGACGTTCAGGGCAAAAAATGCTATGGATGAAATCATACAACGGTTATTGTTGTTAATTTCCCATGAACACATGTTAAATTTGATTGCTAATGTTTCAAAATTTTGTCATTGAAGTCAAACTTGTTCAGGTCACAATATCCGATGATGCATGAAGCAACATTACAGGCAAATCATGCAAACAATAATTATCTGATTGCAACTCCATCTCTTCACCCCGTTTATTTGTTAATATAACATAGCTTCCCCATAAATCACAAAGAACAATGAAGAATGAAGCGACATTATTTTTTAGAGGGAAGTACCTAAAGAGTTCTTCCCCATAGATTTAGCTTGGCAATGCAGATAAACGCAGAAGCTAAACAATCGCATCCGAAAGAACCAGAGATATGACAATAGGTATCAGGAGAAAGGTTACAGATAATCTACGTGAGGATTGTGACAATATGCGGGAAATACCAAACATTACCCACATGGTCATAAAATGGACTTATCCGACATTGCCGAGATCAGATTCAGTTCAGGGAGTCATAATTATTTACATACGGGTAAATATTTTTAAAGCTTGTAAATTTGATCATCCTCCTTAAAGAGGCTGTACGTTTACGATAAAGAACACCCACTTGTCGTTTGTTTCTTAAATAAACTGATGGAAATCATAAATAGCTCATCCTGAGTTCTCTACTTCCTACCGGGTACCCTTTTAAACATTTATATATTGTGAGAACCATACGTAAATACCTATTGCTACTTCTGACTGCTTATTGGTAAATAACGATATCCGTAACTGGTATCACTTTATAGAACAATATTGACAAAAGCATGCATAATCTGTTCACAAATACTACTGATCCTTTATACAACTGTACTGTCATCAGCAAAAACAACAATAACAACTTCACAGACAGTTCATTTCTTCATTAACACACAAACACTGTAGACAGCGATATGAAATCAGGGACATTGTTCAGCACAATCATGCAGCACAAGCCCCACCCATTCCATTATCAGCCGCTCAGGAAACAGTAGTCCGTTAGTGGGTGTGGCCAATTTTTTTTCGGTTTATACAAATGTAAACACAAACAAAATTGCTTGGTTAGCTAATCAAATGCCTCGAAATAACTTACAATTTACTCATAGAAATTTAAACACTATTCCATCTATATCACAGATGACACCAAGAATTGAAATTGTACCCATGTGGGAAATCGAAGCCTTACAGGACTGAGTAAGTGGGTATGGTTTTACGCTGCTTTTAGCAATATTCCAGCAATATCATGGTGGGGGGCACCACAAATGGGCTTCACACAATGAAACCATGTCGGGAATCGAATCCGGGTCTTTGGCATGAGGAGCAAACATTTTAACCACTAGGCTACCTGACTGCCCCTTACAGGACTAGGAGATATTACTGACTGAAACTTTCTGGCAACCCTGCTACCACAGCCTTGTGCCTCCCACAGTTTCTAGGACTGACCTGTCTTGTGCCCACTGCTGGTACTTCTTCTGGATGCTGTTCTGTGTGTTCATGTTCCCTGTCGGGGTGAGGCGGGTGGCATCAAATGGGGGGAAGGGGTACGACGGGGTGCCCGGAGACATCAGCTGATTCCGCAGCATCTGCATCTGCCTCTCGTACATCTGGCGCTGCTTCTCTAGTGCTTCTACAACAAAAAGGAGGCAATGGAAGCAAGTTTCCTGTACCCAGAACAGACCAGTCTCTATTACACCAAGTGATCTTAGCACTATGATTGTAATAAACCTATGTTAAAGTATGGGAGTTACAATCCTATTAGTGCTAAGAGCAGGTGGCAAACCCGTGATTCAAACCCAATCCATCCAGGTCCAGGATAAGGATGAAAATCTGCATAGCATTTAGTGAGACCCGATACCACTAGGCTACTGGTGCCGTTAGTCCAAGTGGGATCAGAAAGAAAAACAATAGTTTATTGATTTTTGTTTTAAAGACATACCGATAGATGCACATGAAACACACTGTGTTGGTGAGCTGTCAGAACAATGTAAAGCACTTTAAGCCAAGCACTTTCAGAATACTTCCTAACTGAAGACCAGCTCGGAACAACCTAAGAGAAAATGTTAGGAACTATCCATCTACAGGTCAGAGCACAGGGACACATGTACGGAATTGTACAGAAACATTGATAATGGCATTAGCGAAAGGATTGTCTTCTTAGATGTGATACATGCATGTACTCTAAGTTGTCATAAACAGAAATGGACATAACAGCTACAACCACCATGTGATACGCTCAATACACGACCAGAACTAGTTAGGTCGACATTGTTTCACAAATCAATATGTTACCAGTTGACCAATAACGAGCTGGTCAGTTTGGAATTAGCCTGTCATTAATACACTCAGCTGTGTAAACAGCTACAACATCCTGATGGTAGCGAGTATCTCCTGCAGCAATGTAGGGGTGGGTGGAGGAAGGCAGACCACGCTCCTTACATAAGTTCACACAATAATGAGAAAATCACTCATGTGCTCTCGTCACGATTCGCTGCGCAGAGTTGCGTCCCTTGGGCATGCCGGAAACCTATGATTGTGTGTTTGAATACCGGTTTGCCCTGATTATGTTTCTAGGTTTGTCAGCATCATACCCGTGCTTGTGGGTTTCATCGAAGTGGTAAACGTCTGAGACCTGCATCACTTCGGGCTTTCCTCCCACATTAAGCTGACACGCCGTGATATAACTGGAATACTGTTAAAAGCGGCGTTAAACCCAACTCACTCACTCATGTGCTCTCACTGCAAGTCGCCAACACTGAGACAAGGCGTGTGACATACATTTGCAATATCGAGAGGTGGGTAAGAATTCATGTTATATAATACTTTGTAATTCAGTAAACTACGGTTATAACGAACTCAAAGGGACCACTAATGTTAGTTCGTTATAACTGTATTTTGTTATAAGCATATACACAGCAAATGTTCGGGACCAAAAATACATTTATCATATCCGTCAGTTTGTTGTAAGCGTGTTCGTCATTAACATAGTTACTATACTAAAGAAATTAACATTTCATTTTGTTACTCTCAAAACAAAGTGTACGATGTTTAACATACTGGATCACTCAACACTTATTATGGAAGCAAAATGTCCAAACATATATGCCTAACTTATCAACAAAATAAGAAAATATTCTTTTGCAATAACTGATTCAAACAAGATGAAGTAAGATAAAAAAAAGCTTATATTACATTTAATATTTGGATTTGGGGACACAGTTACTTACATAATAATTCACATCTTGCACCTAACACCTCTTGGAACTTACTCACATAAATGGTATGTCAGAGTGTCCAGAAATATATCATGAATGAAAGTAGGTTATAGCTGCAGATGATACATACATTTTAATACTGGCGTAGTATAGTAGACCGACATACTGTAAGTACCATGGACACAAATACATATGATCCCAACTCAAGACCTAGCTATATCAGCATTTACTGTAGCTAAAGACTTATGTATGCATAAAGCTTTCATTCTGAACTTGTACCACTGCATGCATTGTGTGATGAAGTATACATACAAGCACCTGCTCCCAGCCACAACCTACTTACAGACAATGTGCTCATCCATACAGCTGCTTGTTAGAGTCAGACAAATACATGCATATTGTCTCCATCAAGTCTAGTTACCTGCGCCAGATATCAGTGAATTACCTACCAGGCAGTACAGACCTGTCGGAGATACAGCACACACTGCTGCACTGTGTCATGGACCATTGTTTCAGGTCAGCTGAGACAGCTAATAAATTCAATGTGTGGTCATACGCTCACAGAGCCAACACGAACCTGCCAGCGTAGGTCACGACGACCACTAAGTCATGAAGTAACTTAAAATCTAATTCCCATGCATCTGTATGTTTCATTAACTTTTTCTACAAAACTGTAACTTTTTTGCCCTGATGTTATTTTCCTTTGGAATTCTGATTTAAGGAATTTCTAAATATATCTGGTATTCACCACACTAGAGCAACAATGTTATGACGCCCCATCTGTTACTAGTGAAAATATGATTGATCTTTTCGAATTATTGTTATTTAATACAACAATTTAGGAATCATAGCTTTTGACACATTAATCCTGACATTTTCCTACAAAGCACAAACTTTGAAACAGGTTAGGTAATCAATAACAGGTTTCTACTATGAATTTATCACACAAATTGAAACAAATACACACTACAAAAAGAGAAGAAAATGAATTACAGGCAGGCACCTTTCATCACTCTCATAAACTTCTGATCAATAGCCAAGGCTTGAAGCTTTATCGAATCTGAAGGACAAATTGCTTTCCCAAAACATCTGTTGGAAACTAACGAAATTATAATGCTCCATACCAGATTGAACAGTAACCAGTCACATTGATCTATCAATTGGTTCCACTTCATGCGCCTTCTCCATCAATCTGAGTTGACCATGATAAACTCTGTGATCGAACTTCGATGGATTCCCCATGATGGAAGGATTCAAGCTATTCCAGTTCAAAGTGAACAAATGCCACGCCAAACCATCTTCGTGGAGAACATTACAATGCAAATTGCTCACCAAAGAAAACTATAAATCTGATTTCCGAACAGATGTTTCTTAAAATGTTTTTCTAAGCAGAATGGTTTGTGATGACAGACGTTTCCAACATGAGAGGAGTAATTTAAATTTTCTGATAACTTTTATGTTGAATGATCGAGACAAGAACGAAATGGGCCACATACATACATGTATATGGAATTAGGACACTGTCATGATCTAACTACTTTTGATAGGACGTTCTTCTGTATGATTAACAAATTGTAAAAACATCTTCAAGACAATTTCGACGACAATCAGCCAGTGTTCAAGAAAATGAACAAGTCTGTCATATGGGTACATCAGACGGGAAACTTACACAAATTGTTCACATTGTATTGTTTTGTCTTTACCATAGGAAAGGAAAAAGCTGCCTTGCCTTAATTTTTCAAATTACAGCTGAATGTTTTTGTGTTGCTTCTGAAATGATTATTGGAATACAACCTTACTTTCCCCCATGTCGACATTCTTCTAACACAGCGATGCCGTGATTGTGTGGAATCGATACTGATATCTACATTGAGTTGAATGATGGTGAGCCTTGCACTCAGTCGCAGCTGCCTTCAGATCATGTTTATTTCCAAAGTTGGCTGTCCTGCTTCAGAAGTGTTCATTATCAAACTTTTTAAAATGTCCTTGGTAGCAATGAAGTACAAGTAAAATCCTCCTAATCCATTTAAGAATCCATCACACAATTGGGTAAGCAATTGTAAATCCAGAACCAAAACAATAGTGTGTTCCATCAGAGAGAGCTGCATGTTGGGCAGGAAGGCAGCTCGGTGGCCACATTGCCAGCTAAAATACACACAAGACTCATAGTGGATTCTCTTCGGGGGACTTTTTGTTCCTTCCTGATTTTCTTTTCCGAGTTTTTTAGGTTGGTCGAATGAATGGATGAATGGGCTGGAGGTTGTGTGAGAGGTTGGTGAGTGTGTGGGTGAGCGTTTGGGTGAGTGTGTGGGTGAGCGTTTTGGTGAGTGTGTGGGTGAGCGTTTGGGTGAGTGTGTAGGTGAGCGTTTGGGTGAGTGTGTGGGTGAGCGTGTTGGTGAGCGTTTGGGTGAGTGTGTGGGTGAGTGTTTGGGTGAGTGTGTGGGTGAGCGTGTTGGTGAGCGTTTGGGTGAGTGTGTGGGTGAGCGTTTGGGTGAGTGTGTGGGTGAGCGTGTTGGTGAGCGTTTGGGTGAGTGTGTTGGTGAGCGTTTTGGTGAGTGTGTGGGTGAGTGTTTGGGTGAGCGTTTTGGTGAGTGTGTGGGTGAGTGTTTGGGTGAGCGTTTGGGTGAGTGTGTGGGTGAGCGTTTGGGTGAGTGTGTGGGTGAGTGTTTGGGTGAGTGTGTTGGTGAGATTTTTGGTGAGTGTGTGGGTGAGCGTTTGGGTGAGCGTTTGGGTGAGTGTGTGGGTTGGTCAGTGGTTGGTCGGAGAACCGATGTGGTGAGTGTGAAGATGGAAGGGTTGGTGGTTGGATGAGCAAGCAAATGAGAGAGCTGGAGAGTGTGACCATAATGCAGCCACATCATGGATGTGAGGAAACACAAAGAATAAGCAACAAAAGTTGGTCACATCTGGCACAAGCAGTGTTTAAAATTAAGGAGTTATTGGCCCTTGGTGATCACCCCAAAATGAATCCTGGAACCCCTAAATCTGTCACCCTTAACATTGACGTAATGCATGGATTGATGTTCATGCTTAATGTTGACCATGCCACACACCCTCGTGAAAAGCACTGACACCGAGATGATAGAACCTACCCTGCTTGTCCTCCTCGTGCTGCTTCTCGATGGCACAGATGGCCTCCTGTATGGGGTCGTCACACAGCTCTTGCATCATCAACTCCTGTTGGGCAAAGTTGTAGTCGATCTTCTGTTCTGATGGGTCAGCATTCTGGGTTTGGGGGCCTGAACAGAAATGAATAATCGGTGTGAATCAACAAATCATCACAATGTACACCACCATCACATCATAATAGTGTGCAACTTATTACCTGTGAAGATAGATACCTGACAAAACATATAACATACAACTTGCTAGCTCCGGCCCCAGTCATTAACCTTGCAGGGAAATATACTTAGGAAAATCAACCACCTGTACAAGAGACATTGCAGGGTTACAGTGACATTAATTGTAGCAGGTTTCCCTGTACCCAGATGATCAGGGTCCCCAGGTCTTAAACCCAGAAAATAAACACATGTGGTAGTAGGGCAGGTGGGGTAGGGGTGTTGGTGTAGGGCAGGGGGCTGATGGGGTAGGGTTGGTGGTGCAGGGGATGGTGGTGTAGGGGGGGTAGGGTAGGGCCAGTGGTGTAGGGCAGGAGGCTGGTGGGGTTGGGCCGGGATGGGCTGGTGGGGTAGGGATGGTGGTGTAGGGATGGTGGTGTAGGGGTGGTAGGGTAGGGATGGTGGTGTAGGTGTGGTAGGGTAGGGATGGTGGTGTAGGTGTGGTAGGGTAGGGGTGTTGGTGTAGGGCAGGGGGCTGGTGGGGTAGGGATGGTGGTGCAGGGGATGGTGGTGTAGGGGTGGTAGGGTAGGGCTGGTGATGTAGGGCAGGAGGCTGGTGGGGTTGGGCCGGGCCGGGATGGGCTGGTGGTGTAGGGCAGGAGGCTGGTGGGGTTGGGCCGGGCCGGGATGGGCTGGTGGTGTAGGGCAGGAGGCTGGTGGGGTAGGGACACTTGTGTAGGGATGGTGGTGTAGGGGTGGTAGGGTAGGGCAGAGGGCAGGGGGCTGGTGGGGTTGGGCCGGGATGGGCTGGTGGTGTAGGGCAGGAGGCTGGTGGGAAAGGGGATAGTTGTGTAGGGATGGTGGTGTAGGGGTGGTAGGGGTGGTAGGGGTGGTAGGGTAGGGCTGGTGATGTAGGGGTGGTGGGGTAGGGCAGGGGGCTGGTGCAGTAGGGATGGTTGTTTATGGGATGGTGGTGTAGGGGATGGTGGGGTAGAGATGGTGGTGAAGGGGTGGTAGGGTATGGATGGTGGTGTAGGGCAGGAGGCTGATGGGGTTGGGTGAAGATGGGCTGGGGGTGTAAGGGTGGTGGGGTAGGGCAGATGGGTTAAGTGTGGTAGCATATGGGTGGTGGTGTAGGGGTGTGGTGTAGGATGGTAGGGTGGTGGTGCAGGGCTGGTGGGGTGGTGGCGTAGGGCTGGTGTAGGGGTGTGGTGTAGGGATGTGGTGAAGGATGGTAGGGTGGTGGTGCAGGGCTGGTGGGGTGGTGGCGTAGGGCTGGTGGGGTGGTGGTGTAGGGCTGGTGGGTTAAGTGTGGTAGGGTAGGGGTGGTGGTGTAGGGGTGTGGTGTAGGGGTGGTGGTGTAGGGGTGGTGGTGTAGGGCTGGTGGGTTAAGTGTGGTAGGGTAGGGGTGGTGGTGTAGGGGTGTGGTGTAGGGTGGTGGTGTGGTGGTGTGGTGGTGTATGGGTGGTGGTGCAGGACTGGTGGGGTGGTGGTGGGAGTAGTGTGGAGCTTGTGGTGTGGTGTGGTAGGTTTGGTGGGGTAAGGCTGGTGTGATGGTGGTATAGGGATGGTGGGTCATGGCTAGTGGGGCAGGGTTGGGACTGAACATTACTAAGTCACAAAGTGAACATGTAAGGCATCTGAAAAACGTGGGGGTATGTTGACTTGGTTCCCCCGCCCCAATACCCGTGATTTACTTGACACAAGGATTTAAAACAATCTGAAACTGACTTTACAAAGATTAATCTTCATCTTCACTAGGCATGTAAAATAACATCTTTTGAGGGAAATGAACCTTCCATGTTTACATCAAGATTTCCAAGGGCAAAGACTAACATTTATCAGCATGTGATCGGCAGAGCTAACCACTCGGCACGTGACTTCTTTGTGAACAGGTTATTCAAATACTTTACAATAAAGTATTGTACAGTAGGTACATTTTGTTCGACAGACATAAAGTGATGAAACATGTCTTGAGGGCTATATTTGGATCAAGACATCACGTTTTACATAAAATGTATGAAATGTAAGATAGAACACGTTTGAAATGGAAGACTTACTATTTGTTGGTCGCGGGCAGTTAAGACGAAAGAAGTGATTATTCCCCCACAGGATACGGTCTCCATGTCGGACCTTCTTTCTTTCATGGATGACGGCGCCATTAACGCACGTTCTGAAAATACAGAAACATTGCCATGATTGTGGGAAGAAACACAACTCTTCTGTTTAGAGGAGGAAAAACAGCCGCAGTAATTAGACAAAAAACCTCCATCATGAGGATATAGAATCCCTGGTGGGGTGTCTTCTTTCACGGGAGCTCCAACTGGTTGGAGAGGCAGGAGGAGCAGCAGCACGCAACAGTAGTCAAGCAAGGCATGGATCTGAACATGACTGATAAAACTCAAGGTATGTGACATCATCAACTGTGCAACATAATGAACATGCTACAGAAGTACAGGACAATTCATTGCTTGGGTCTTGACTCTCCCTGGAGGGCAGCCTAATGTCATATATACTTGTCTGAATAATCTGTCATATCACAGGCCAGGCTGATATTGTCAACATCAGTCAGAGTAACAGTCAGAGTAACAGTATCTTACTTAAGGGCAGCTTCATGCCTCAAACATTGCCCAGAGTCATTAATCCAACATGAGGCAGCCTAGATGATATAGAGTCCAACATGATGCAGTCTAGGTGATATACATTCCAACATGATTGCGCTTAGTGATATATCATCTAACATGATGTTACCTACGTGCTATAAATTCCAACATGATTCTGGGCTTGGTGATATAATATTAGTCCAACATGATGCAGCCTAGATGATACATAGTCCAACATGATGCAGCCTAGATGATATATAGTCTAATATGATGCAGCCTAGATGATATATAGTCCAACATAATGCAGCCAAAATGATATATAGTCTAACACGTTCCAGCCTAGGTGATATACATTCCAACATGATTCTGGGCTTGGTGATATACACTGTAACAATGAGTCTAGCCTAGGTGATATGCATTCTAAATTGATTCTAATCCAGATGACTTATAGTCTAACATGATCCAATCAAGATGATATACATTCCAACATGATTGAGCTTGGTGATATATCGTCTAACATGATGTTACTTACGTAATATAAATTCCCACATGATTCTGGTCCAGATGATATACATTCTAACATGATGTTACCTACGTGATATACATTCTGACATGATTCTGGTCCAGATGATATACAGTCTAACATGATGTAACCTACGTGATATACATTCTGACATGATTCTGGTCCAGATGATATACATTCTAACATGATTCTGGTCCAGATGTTATACAGTCTAACATGATGTAACCTACGTGATATACATTCTGACATGATTCTGGTCCAGATGATATACAGTCTAACATGATGTAACAGAGCTCTAGATAAGCTGCGTATCTGCGTAAAATATGCATTGGAAATGCAGAAATACGCAGTGAAATAAAATTCAAGTGTATCAAATACGCAACGAACATTACAGATACGCTACAAAAATAAAACTAGTGTGTATCATCAAAATATTGTGAAGTAACCCTGCGTATTCGATTAGCAAATCAAACTTATTTTGAAATGATATACGGACATTCTTGCCAAACTCCACGATGACAGTTACATCATGATCATTTGCCTTCCTTTCTTGTAGAAGTATCGCAGTATTTTTGAGTCCTATAAAGCTCTCAAACTCACTCGACATCAGTTTGCAGGGACGAGACTAAGTGTTTTTAAATATTTAACTTTAATACCCACATGTGTAAAAACTAGTGGGTAAAAGAATTTTAATACCCAGATAGAATTACTGATACCCAATGATTTTAAAATGCAGGGGTAAAATACCCATAAGACCAAAAGCTTATCTGGAGCTCTGTGTAACCTACGTGATATACATTCTGACATGATTCTAGTCCAGATGATATACAGTCTAACATGATGTAACCTACATGATATACCGTATATGACCGCACATAAGCTGAATTTTGAGGACCAGAAAAAAGATTCTGTAGAAAGGGGTCGGCTTATCCACGGGATACACTTTCATGATAGTATTTTTCAGATTGTGATCCGTGAGAAACATCGCCTGAATGACAGTTCGATAGATTACAACTTCCCGAAAGTTTGGAAGTTGCCACAACTAGAGCCATTATTGTTATAAATTATCAATAAAGTTTATTATTATACACCAATGTTGTCATTATTAAAAAAATGTTATGCAAGTTACTACTTCCGATAATAAGTTTTCAATTGCATGTTCAAAGTTTATCGTTCTTCATAAACTCCACAATCTTTACATGTAACAATATATGTAATCCACAGCTATAATATATAATCCCCAGATGAAATCGCCAATAGCTATTACATACGTTTTGCAAAGTTCATAAATTGATAGTGAACAAGTATCTACCTTTATTGAAAGAGGCAAATATAAACAACTGTAACGGCGAGTTATTCCGTTCGCCATTTGCAAAAACATGTGATCAGCTGTTTCCTGTGACGTCACAAACGGTGACCACTGTGATTGCTTCCTGTTGTTTAAAAAGCAACACGGTACACAAGGAAATGAGCACTGATAATAACGGGCCGATTGATATTGTCATGTTGTTTACACAAACATTTTCAAGATGTGGGTGCTTAGCGATCGTGTTGGTAGTATGGGCTTAATTCCTTTGTTTTCGAGAGATTAGTTTAATAAACTGGAGAAGCCTTTGAGTAAGTGACGGTCATTCAATGTGTTCATAGTTTATTTAATTCAATTGGATTACATACAATAGTGGTATAAAGGTATAAAAGTTTGTATATTTTTACTGACTGACATTCTCATCATGAGTTTGAAACGAAAATGCCATGCTTACAATGCTGAATACAAACCGCGAGTCTTCGCTCTAGCGGATATATTTTATCACGGGTTCATAATTCTATATACACCGATTCACAAAATGGCGCTTCGTTGTTGATGGCAACATATAACAAGCTTTATAAGATTAAAAAAAGACAAGAGAAACAGCTTCCCACATTATGAAAGTGGATGACTTTACAACGTTTTTCATCTTATATTTTTGAATATCTGCGAGTACCGGCACATGTCTTGCAGTCCGACTTCGCAGTGTTTTTTGCCTCACTTCCTGGTTTGGCTTATCTGCGGGTCATATAACTTCTTTTGTATTTCAATGGTCAAGTTAACACCTCGGCTTATCTACGGGGTCGGCTTTTCCACGGTCATATACGGTACATTCCAACATGATTCTGGGCTTGGTGATATACACTGTAACAATGAGTTTGGCCAAGGTGATATACATTCTAAATTGATTTTGATCCAGATGATATACAGTCTAACATGATCCAAACAAGGTGACATACATTCCAACATGATTCTGAACTTGGTGATATACATTCCAACATGATTCTGAGCTTGGTGATATACACTCTTAAGATGAATCTGTCCACGGAAACATGATCATAACCTAAATGATATACACACTAACTTGATTCTGATGATATACATTCTGACATGATTCTGGTCTAAATTATAGAGACTCCTATACAAGAAGATGTTATTCCAACATGAATAGAGACCCAAATGAGACCAGTCAATAAGTCAGCAATATTCATTATCAAATTAGTTGGGTGGAATTAATGTAAACAAGTGTTGCTATGTGTTCAATCTGATTACAAGGGTTAGGGACATATTAGATTTCAGTCAAATTAACCAGCATCGATAACTAATTGAGCACTCTGCCAATTCCTCATTTCCTCTGCTAGGCACCACGGAGTCCTTGCTGAGCATGTTACAGTCTCTTCGATAATTCTGCTATCTCAACACGCTATCGATACTCTCAGTGTTATCATCATGTTATCATGTTACCCGGCCAGTACGGCCTGGGAATAACCTGGCGCCACGCTTGTCATGATAATTCTGTTGAAAAGAAACACAATGGCCTAAAAACTTGTACTTCATCACAACCAGAGACAAAATCTGTCTCGTTTGTTAAACAAATGTACTGTGTTCATTTCCCTTCTTAAATGTGACTATCCATCTACAGTGGCTACAGTGGCCAACTAGTGAGAGGTTGAGAGAATATTGGGTACTGGGTCAGTGTGAGGCACTATTCAAGGAATCGGCCCAGTACTAAAGGCATCCTTCGGGGAGCAATAAGTTCGTGTTTTTGACATTTTGTTCTTACACAATCACCATTTGGAAGAGTGCTGAGAAAAATAAGTCATTCTTCTTGTTAAACACCGTCACCCTGACGCAAATAAAAACAAATTCACGTCAAGGACTGTACACAGTTAGAGTGAGTGTCAAGGACTGTACACAGTTAGAGTGAGTGAGTGAGTGAGTGAAGTGGAGTGGAGTGGAGTGGAGTGGAGTGGAGTGGAGTGGAGTGGAGAGGGGTGGAGTGGGGTGGAGTGGAGTGGAGCGGAGTGGAGCGGAGCGGAGTGGAGTGGAGTGGAGTGGAGTGGAGTGGAGTGGAGTGGAGGGGAGAGGAGCGGAGCGGAGTGGAGTGGAGTGGAGCTGAGTTAATCTCTGCAGTCAACAATATTTCAGCTGTATCACAGATGCTTGTAAATAATCAAGTCTTGACCAGGCAAACTAATATCCACTTTGACAGTGGTAGACACAAATCTTCCACCATCTATATAGGAGTGAGTGAGTGAGTGAATATGGTTTCACACCGCTTTCAGCAATATATTTCAGCAATATCATTGCAGGACTCTTTATAGAGTAATCTTCTGCTTGTCTTTCTACTGATAATACTGTTCATTATTGGTTTGGGACAAGAATCCCAGAACGTTCAAATCCACAAATCCATGGACCCACAACGATGTAATCTGGCCGTCTAGGAGTATCACTGGGGGGGTCCAGGTGTCATGTCCTAATGACTTTTTGCAAAGAAATATCAATGAAATTGCTTTAGCTTTACTTGATTTGGCAGATATCAGTACCCAACTAGACTGGGAACCATGGACTAGTGCCAGTTTCTAAGCCTGAAACAGCAAGACAGCGGTAAAAACACCCATACCAATCAGCAAACTACAGCAACACACAACACAGCCAACTCAGCAGCTCTTTTGGCTACCTTCACCTCATTACCCAGTGCATTTGACTCAGTTAAAAGGTTCCAGCTAATTTGTATCGCTGGACATGAGCGTAAATTCAATGCTGTCTTGTGCCCAATTCAAATCAATCACCAGCTCATTTGACAAATATGAATGCTTTTAAGAATATCCATTCACGATACGACATGATCACAATTTCAATCATCAAAACCCCTCAGATGGACATAGTCTAAAACCAATCGGGCAGCTAAAATCAATGCTGTTCTGCAAACCATCTGTATGCAAGCACCACAACTTACAGCAATCAGCTTCCTGACTTCAGAAACCACAAAGGCACCAAAAGCACTGACAAGCACTTCCTGCCTGGGTGCAAATTTGCTACAACATTTGAACTTGTAACCATCAATTACACAGCACAGATTGACATGGGTCAAATGGACAGTATTTACATATTGCCTCCCTTCAACGTTCAACTTCTCCATGAATTATCCGATCATATGAGCCGTGTTGGAGCACGCCAATGACTTTACAATGATGACTGATTACCATAGATTATCGTTGTAACCACTGTCTGAATTGTATAAGCGGAGGTATTGACTCTGTCTGTCACTGTCTCCTTCTCTCTCTCTCTCTTCATCTCCAGTATGGTATCTCTCCTCTCTTCTCTCACTCACACATTCATGAAGTACATGCAGCTATCCACAATCTGACATCTATCCTCTTCTCTCTCACACACAAACACATGCCTGTCAACACGTGTCTTCCTCTATCGCACACACAAACAGGGACCTGCCAACTTTAACCAAACTTTTTGTCCTTTGTGAGACGTTTTAACATCAAACAATGATTAATAACTGGAAAACATCAATAAATCTGAAGTTCAGAGTTAATGTGTTTAAAAAACAATTCCATATCTAAAATCCAATTAAGGAATTCAATGCTTGCCAAGATTTGCCAATGATAAACAGACACCTTAATAATCCTGTTTGAAAACAATTTCTCACAACAATCTTTCAACACAAAACACAGTGATTTGAAGCTGTAGATCACCTGGTCCTGGGTCCTAGTACATAACTAACATCAACAATTCAAGACGGCAACAAAAGATGCCATGTGACATATTGACATCAATTATTTCATATCTGTTTATTGAGATATATACTACTGAAAAGAAGTTAAAGAACACCTGATTTTTTTATTATCACTCTAATTAAGCTGTCATGAAATAACACATTCACTAGAGTAATATGACAAAAATCGGCTGTTATTAAACTTCTTTTTAAGTTGGTTGGTTGGTTGGTTGGTTGTTTGGTTGGTTGTTTAACGCCACACTCAGCAATATTCCAGCTATATGATGTTAGTCTGTAAATAATCGAGCCTGGACCAGACAATCCAGATATTGACATCATGAGCATCGATCCCCGCATTTGGGATCGATGACATGCATCAACTATGTCAGCGAGCCTGACCACCTGATCCCGTTAGTGGCCTCTTACGACAAGCATAGCCGCCTTTGGGTTGCTGAAGACCTATTCTACCCCGGATCTTCACAGGCCGTCTTTTAAGTAATAAATGTAAGTCTGTAATTAATTCAAATAAGCAAACATAACATTGTATTGTCATACAGTTGACAAGCACCTGCCATTACTGTGGTGTGCAATGTGTTTCTAAAGCTGCATGAACAACAGTTCATCTTGTGTTCAATGACTCTTGTGTTCAATTGATCTCACCTACTTTTCAGTATGCAATATAGTCCTTAAGAGAAAAAGAATACCAACGAGTTGATTTTTCTGCCAGACAAAATGACCAAGTTTTCAATCCTCCCCTTTCATTAATCTCAGTAGGTGTCAACTTCCTAGCTGCAGACTGCATAACGTGGAAATCATTGGGGATCAAGTTTCACCTTCATCAGCCCAGTAGTTTCAGAAGGCAAGATGCTGAAGGAGTTCTATAATTCTCAATGGATTTCACCCTCCCCCACGAAAAGTAACAGAGGGAGGTGAGTGAGTGAGTTAGGTTTAACACCGCTTTCAACAGTATTCCACTTATATTACGGCGTGTCAGCTTAATATGGGAGGAAAGCCGAAAGTGATACCACTTTAGTGAAACCGACGAGCACGGGTAAGGTGCTGACAAACCTAGAAACATAATCGGGGCAAACTGGGATTCGAACCTACAATCATAGGCCCAAGGGACGCAACTCTGCACAGCAAATCACGGCACCTTAGACAACTGGGCCATCCATGCGCAAACAGAGGGAGGACCTAGATGATGTAAACCAACTTTGGTCTCACCACTTGAAGCACATCAACTTTCAGTCCAATGGTTGAGTGAAGAAGACGTTGACATATAACAAAGCACAACAGCCAATAAATCCATGAAATCAACTCACTTGTGAACAGACATTTTAATAATGGAGGAAACTCAAGTGCGGTGCCTCTATAGGAGCTCTAAATGACCTTCTGTAGAAGTTTTCATGACATAAAAGAACAACAGTAGACACTAGGTATCACATTTATTAGGTTCAATGAATTTTTACTGAATATTAATTGGCTTTATGACAGTAATTCAAAGAATTCTTATACTGTATTCATGGATTATTTTTAAAGCCCTGATATTATCTGTAACTCATCATCAATAATATCTTGTGATCTGACACTAATTTGATTTAATAGGATCTCCTGTATAATGTCTGTTGAAGAAGGATAGCGAGCAGGAGAACAAAGATGTAAGTTCCTAGTAACAATAATCTTGCTGCATAAATCGGACTCCAGCCCTGCCACATCAAAAGACCATCACACAGTTTTAAGCCTCCTAACCATTATATAAGACACACAATACGGTGATGTATTTACCGACTGTAATCAGGCCTCAGAGACAGGAACAATCTAAGTAATTTGGTAGAGCAGTTATCCCCTGTAAAGCTGTGCGATATTGCATGTCTTGCCACCATAACGGCCCATCTCCATGTAGTCTACCCTGGCAACATGAAGAACACAATCCACACTCACTGCTCGGCCACTGTAATAAGCAATCTTCCACCATAATTAACCCCGATTGAGATGGAAGAGAGTCTGATTGGCCAACTGGAGAATTGCTCATTGTCAGGACAGCATGGAGTAACCCACTGTGCTTATCTGGACCAGTTTCAGACAAAGTTCTATGTTAGATGGATCACAATGCCAACATTCCAATAACACTTGCCTCTATGATCAAACACAACCTGGAAGAGATTCAGCCATATGGGCAGAATTAATTTTGAATAAAATGGATTTCAATACTTGTGCCAAGAAATTTACAAAGGAACATGTTGAGAACTGGGACAGTTGAACCGACAGTAGGTATGAGAGTGTGGTATTCCTAGTGGGACAGTCAGTCGGGTCTTAAGGAACCAGGTATCGATAATATTTGACACTCCTGACGTGACACAGACATAGGCCTTCATCATGACAAGCCGTTCCTGATTCTAAATACATCGCATGATGTCTAAATATGCAAGACTGTTGCATGTTGTGAGTAAAGTCCTTCTCAATAGTACCAGCAGTTAACCTTGAGTGACACCTAGGGGAGACTTAGTCTACATGACTTCACACAGTCTGCTCATTCCCGTCCAACAAGCCATCATCAGCTGCCATCATCTCCAGGGCTCTGCAACCTGTGTTCAACCCAAGCCACAGAGACCAGGGCCATTTTTTCCGAAAACTCACCTTTTGTCTTTGAATAAATCAAACTAGATCATCTTGGGATCAGTTTGAAAGATCATTACTCAGTTGTGGTTTACAAATTCCTGTCAATGTCACAGCCTCTCTAGTAGCAGATCCAGTTAGACACATAAACATGCATAGAAGTAGGTAAATAAAAGCTAGAAAACCCTTTCCCTTGTCATAAGAAATCTGTGATAGAAGAAGAGGCGATTGTACGATTCCAACTGTATTATGAACATGTGTTTATGAAATCACTATGAAATCGCTTTTAGCAATATTTCAGCAATATCTCGACAGGGGACACCAGAAATGGGCTTCACACATTGTACCCATGCGCTGAATTGAAACCCTGGTCTTCAGCAAACAGTTTAACCACTAGGCTACCACACCAACATCACAGTCAAGAAATCTCTGCTTAAAGCATTGTCCATTGTACGATTCCAACTGTATTATGAACATGTCTATGACTATGAATTGGTCATGATACCAAGTGTTTGCAAAAGGTAGAACATATCCTGCCCCATCAGTGGCCCCTGTAACAACTTGCTTTACTCACCTGGCTCCCTCTAGTGGTGTGATGTAGACTTCTGGACCATCGACATCCACAATACAGTGTTCCGGCATAATGCCCAGCCCTCGCAGCTGGATGTCCTGTTGGGTGGGCGCATCCGGCCGCCCAACCATCGTGTGCTCCTGAAACAAAACCATCACGTGTCATCCGGCTATCTGAGAAGAACATGAAGATACCTATGATTTCTAACCTGCCAATAACCAACAATTGACACACCGTAATCAGCACGAATCTGTGTCCAGTCCCCTCTCCCCTACAGGATCAGACTGATGAAGTCTTACCAGCTGTGTCAGACCTCACAACATCAGCAACGTCAAGGACATATTAGCAATGGTGGATGACATTACATCCACTCATCACAGTTCATTAACATTTAAAGATCCAACACAGCATCAAGTAGACAAGTAGTGCATGTCTCTTGCATTACTGCATACTGCAGTGTGTGATTACGGATGTTGGTCTTCGCCTGACACTGAAGACTCTCAGTCAGTGCTGCTGGTGATGGCCCCATCTGGGTTGTATGACCATGATAAAGTCTAGGACTCCTGTTACCTAGCAAGTCTATAATGATGTTCAGCATGGCTCTCTGTGCCTAGGTTCACCTACTCTTCTTTACCAGGGCTGCTTAGCCAATAGGAAATTGGCGTTTCAGACTGGCGGAAATTCATCATGACCAAATAATCTACAGCTAACCGGAAAATAGCCTCTGCATGCAAAAGACACACAGAAATAGACTCTTGCTGATGAGGAGTCTGTCCTTGGGATGTCTGGCAATAAACCTTTATCTTAAGACACTTCAATCAACAAATGAGTTGTTTGCAAATTTGTACTTACACTAAAACATGTTATCTTCTTAAAAAAACAACTATACATCCGAGATAACTTAGCAGGCGTGCCTAACAGTAATACTGACTCAAGATACATGTATACACAAACGGATTAAATATTTAGATGATAACAAAAGTCTGAAACACCTAAAGGCAGCTTACAGTTTAATAATAACAGGCACCATCTGTAAATGTGCAACAGGTCCCCTGTACTGTAAACAAGGTCATAGCTACACCTTTAGGGATTCAGTTATATTAGTTGGTTTACAAAATAAATGTATGCAGGTTGAAAATAATTTTAAAAATAAATTTCAACTTCCAGATTAGTTGAACCAAATGAAAAACAAAGTTTTAAAATGGCAAGATACCAAAACATACTTGTTGGGTTTTTGTTCTGTGTGCGTTAGAATAAATAAATTTCATAACTATTGTTCACCAATAACTATAAAAACTCATGTTTTGTTTTCATTTTTCCTAGTTGTTGTAAAACAAAGTCAAACAGTTGTTTTCATTTCAAAACTGAACCAACTGAAAAAGAACTATATAAGAGCTTACATTTTCAGAGAGAGGCACGTGTATCTTACGTTAATGAATCCCTATAAAGTTTTGATCCTAATGAAATACAAGAACGGATATGGTCTACTATCTATTGCAAAAAACAGAGTTTTAAACCCATTGATTAATATGCAAGCAGTCTGACAACAGGGGACCCCAGAAATGGCCTCACTACCCAGTTGGGAATCAAACCCAGGTCTTAAGTCTCAGAATTGAATACATTAACCACCATCGCCCCCCCCACCAGTCAGGTGTTAGCATGAGAAGATGGTTGTTCCTCCAGTTCTACCATAACTGGTCATGTTATTGCCTCGCTTGTTTGTCAGCTCTGCTATTTTAGATGTGACGCTACCTGTCAATTGTGACCGAAGTGTCTGACACGATTAATTTTCAGTCAAACCTGTCTTGTACAAAATGTGTTAAAATAAACATGAACAAAAACAACTCATTCCACAGCATACTGACTTGAACAATACGTAACCTTTAGCATTACATGATGCTGTACAAGTCGAAGCTGCTATTCCAGGCAGCAGTGACAAAATACTATGCCGTGATGTTCCAAAATGGAAATAATCACCAGCTTAAACACTACTAACAGCAAAGTAAACATGAATAGACTTCACCAAGGTTTCTGTCCCTGCAGATCTCATTATGGGCTCCAGCTATAACATGAAGATAATGTCGGGACAAATTTGCTAATATTCTCATCATTTCTTGTGCATGACACAGTGATATTACCCCGCCCTGATAGGGTTTCCCTAACTACACCTCACACTGATAGACACAGATAATCCAGGGGACGATTACAGCCACCAAACTGTAATAAAGGCTACGTTCATTTGAAAACGCCCATAAATAGGCAAGTAAATTCAAGAATTGTTGCCAACAAATGAACTTTATGAGATCCGAGCTTAACCAGGGAGTTTCCCAGGATGAGATGTTTTCTACACTGAAGCAAGGTTCAACACACGGGCAGCTCAATAATGTGGCAGGAAGGTTTAAAAAAATCTGTTACAGAAGCTGTCGAAGCCGAGGGCTTGGTAAATGATTACAATATACGTAAAGTCATCACTGCCCCATGGCATAGATATTAATGTAGGTTTCATATTGTATCATAGGGATTTGTAACTTTAGAGTCGAAACAGAAAACTGTTCTCGAGCGATGTTTGTCAGCAATATTACAGCTATGCCTCATGTGCTGTAGGGTGTGGAGGCAAACCAAGGATAGACTACAAGTTACCTTCCTGTCAAGATTTGAGGGTTGGTAATTCAAAGTTGTCGACCTACATGGCCTCTTCTACCTCAGCAGATAGTGCAACCACACCAACCCAATTTCTGGTAAACTGATGATGACAAGTCTTCTATTCTGCCCTGACATCCCTATGTATGTGAAGCATTACAATCGGAGGCCTTACAAGTCCTGCTGTCTCATCATAGTGCTTGGCATATGTATTTCCATCAGTAACACTACCACACTGGTACATTGACACACACTGACAATGCATACCGTATTCGACAAAATAAGCGTCCTGCTCTAACAAGCGCCATGGCGATAATTTGCTAATATATTGGCTAGTGAACAATCACAATTAGCACCCCTTACGATTGATCAATGAACACAAGACTTATTTATTCATGCTTAAAACACACTCGTGTGTTATATGCACCCTTTATTACGGGCAATTAAATTATGGAAAAATATATCTGTCGTTTAAAATACGCACAGACTTTTTTGTATCATTTGAGGCTGTCATAAACCATGAAATTTACGATCTTTCAACTTTGTTTTTTTTCACCAAAATTATATTCTAATAAGAGCCCCCTATTTCTAATTTTGAGAGCGCCCTGCACGCTTATTACGTCAAATACTGTAATTATGTTTTAAAGCATCAGACATGATTTTTGTGTCCATCTGGATACACACTGAGTGAGACTCGAACCTGAACGACTGTTGTATGTGATTATCTAATGCGTAAATACAAAGAGCAACTTGATTTGATTTTTATGGCCATTTTGCAAAAACAATATGAAAACTTGAATATGTGTTTTCAAAGTGTTTCAGTATATTTTAAATAATCCTGAATTAAAACAAACTTTTACAACTGTTCAGATTGAGGTGATACTTGCACCACTTGTAAGAAAAAACATAGTTTGCTTCATGCCTCAAGCTATATTCTACGCCAGCTGGCTCAATCTCATTCTATACTTTACCTACATCCACACATCTGTAACAGGTGCCTTCTACATGACTGTTTATGCATGCTATCTGGTACAAACATGTAACTGAAAATCTGGAGTTCAGAGCTGAATGCTCGCAATAAAGTCAAAGCCAAAAATGCTTATGCTGTACCTGTTCTTTCGTATTCTTTTGGTGTTTTGAATGGACGAAACAAGAAATGCACGGTATTGACACACTCACACGAAGAATCATGTCAGGCAATAGATCCAACAACCCTTGCTCTATCCAGGCCAACAAACCTGATGTTGTCCTTTTTGATAAATCCAATGAAATCATTTATATCATTGAATTTTCTGTGCCTTTTGACACCAAGGGCCCTGAACTGATGATGAACCTAACCAGCCCGACTGTACCAGGATCACCCAAACCATCTTTGCAGCATTTATTTTAAACTGTAAATAATAATACAATACAGTCCAGCATTTGATATTTACCCTGTATGCAAGGTTTCCTTGTCATGACCATAATGTAAATAGTAAAACATGTAGGGGTCTCAAGAATCTAATAGACCCATGAAGATTCCAGGGTAGAATAGGTCTTCAGCAACCCATGCTTGCCGAAAAAGGTGACTATGCTTTTCGTAAAAGGCGACTAACGGGACCGGGTGGTCAGACTCGCTGACTTGGTTGATGCATGTCATCGATCCCAATTGCGTGGATTGATGCTCATGATATCAATCAATGGATTGTCTGGTCCGGACTCGATTAGTTACAGACCGCCGTCATATAGGTGGAATATTGCTGAGTGCGGCGTTAAACAACAAACCAACCAACCAACCAAGAATCTAATACATTACAAGATAACATCAGGGCCCAGGACATCCACATATTTTGAACTCTACAAGTTAGAGCCCTTCAACAGAGATAGACCTTGCAGAGACCTTGTGTTTAGAGGCAGTCTGGCTGCTGCTGCTGATGGTCCTTACATGTGCTGCTTGGATGCTGACAATCACCTCAGTTATGTCTCTATACAACTACACTATGCAACTGTGAACAAACAGGTCATTGACATCATCACAAATAACTTGAAACTGGACATCAACTCCGAGGGATACTTATGTATGTTCCAACAGGGAGGTGTGCATACATGACAGCAGGACGGCAAGACGGTCAATGTTTCCCCATCTTCTTCCATATGGTATGCTATGGTATTAATGTTTGCAGAATGTTTGTTCAGCCTACATCAGATGCAGGCATAGAACGATTCATTAAAGATGGGAGGCATGTTCACAGCCACTGGTAAATACAACCGAAGAAATAATTGAATTATAGATTTGAAATAATCTACATTTACAAAAAGTTGCCTGAGTTATGGAACCATAAAAATTAAAGATGAATATTGAAAAGAAACAGATATTGTTTTTCTACATGCAAACTGCCTCAAAGTGGCAGGCACCTTCACAAGATGACAAGACAATGTTCTTCGTGTCACATCTACATCACAAAAAGTGACTTGTCATTTTGGCTTAAGACAAAACAGCAAATTCATCAATGTATAACTG